CCTGAGACGCAAAAGCCATTGCAGGAGGCTCTGCGCAAAATGAGTTCACAGATGACAGGGATGTCTGAGGGATGGGGAAAGGACATAAATCGTATCCTCTCATTGAGCCAGCAGTCCACTGACTCAATCGACGCACGTATTGTACAGCTCGCGACGCAAACGGATCGTGATCATGAGCATCTCCGTGAGCGGATAGCGGAGGTGACTGAGCGTCAAGCCGTTATCATAGCCTCTATGGAGGACATGGAGACACAAGTTCATGCATTGATGACAGAGAAACAGAAATCTGTGTCAGATATAGTCTCTCCTGCAGATCGACTCCCTCCCACGCTGTATGAGGAGTCAGCACATGAGCCATCATATCGACCATTACTGGGGGACTCCGTTACCTCTCCCATGGGTCACACTGTATCCAAGGGCTCTCCTGAGTCCTTGAAACCCCGAAAATCCCCGATGGTTGGGTATACGTTGGGAATAGAGCCCGAACATACTTCGCATTCCCGGGCAGTTCCCGCTACACGTATGGTGTCCCATATAGGAACAGAGGACACCCATCCTGCGGCAGCTGGAACCAGTGGAGGTGGTGACATTGTCGATGCAGCAGTTACTATGCGAGTGGGCCAAATGAAATTGGACGCCCCTCCTCGTTACGGTGGCGGACGTCGTCCTGGTGTCCGTGTCTGGCTGAGCCACATAGAACGTTACATGCGGCTCATGAAACACCCCCAAACCGACTGGTTGGATATAGTGGCAATGCGAACTGAGGAGGCAGCCAGTGCATGGATGAATGCAACGCTGGTATCAATCGAGAGAAATCAGCGACCGCGTTTCTTGGATTGGACGGACTTTTCTACCGCTATGATTGCTGCATTCGAACCCGTCACAGAGATGGAGGAGGCCCGCAAAACCCTGCGGGCGCTCCGGCAAACGGGGAAGGTTGCCACCTACATTCAAAAATTCCAGGAATTACAATGTAGGCTGCCGGGGATGACCACAGGAGAGGCGTTCAGCACCTTTATGAGCGGGCTGACGCCTCATCTGCAAGAACACGTGGGGGCGCATGTACAGCGCGATTTGGAGGTTGCCAAACATATGGCCCTCCGGATGGAAATGTACAGGGGGACTGTTGATACGTCGTGGGGGAATCAGCAGAAGTCGCAGAGCGGACAGAAGGGCAAGAAAGGGACTGTCTACTCTGTTGAGGCTCAACTTCAACCTGCGGGGCCCAGCCAGGTGAATGTTGTCCAGAGTCAAGGACAGCAGAGAGGAAAAGGCAAGGGCAAGGGCAAAAAGGGGAAGAACCAGGACAAAGAGGCTTCCCAGCAAAAAGTTCACTGCTTCTCCTGTGGCGGAGACCACACTTTCCGCCAGTGTCCGATCTGGCAGGAAATGCAGAAAAAGTGTAGAATGCAGGCGAAAAAGCAGAGAAACGCCTAATCTGGTCTCACTTGCCCATACCTGTGCAGCACCAGGATGAACCCGCAGAGTTGAACGAGGGAAATAACGAGAGCTGGACGGGGAACCATTTAATTTGGGAAAAGAAAAGGGATCCTCAAGTGCTTCCTAAACCTGTGGAACAGCAACGACAAGCGCCAGTTTCCCCACCTCCAGTGACAGGCGCGGGGTCGGATCTGACCGTAAGGAAACAGACAGGTCGACGGGAGTCTTGCAGAGTGGCAGACTCACCGCCTAACAGTTCCACAGGGAAAGTAACCAAGGAGAAACCACAGACTGGCATTTCGGTATTTGGTGCCAGTCAATGTGGGTGAACACACCTGAGAACACTTGAGTTAATCGGCCGTATCGGCAGGAAAATATGGAGGTTCCTAATCGATTCTGGATTGACCGGAAATTACATTTCCGCTCAGGTGTGTGCAGCTCATAAGGTGAAAGTGGAGGAGGATCCCCTTCCTGATACACTGACCATGGCTGATAGTACAAAAATCCAAACAGAAGGCAAAGTCCAGTTACGTTTCAAATGTGGTGGATATCGGGGAACAGTCCAGGCGAAAGTATTCGCTGGTCTGCAAAAACCTATGATTTTGGGTATCCCCTGGTTACAGAAGGAGAATCCCCACATTGATTGGACTCGCGGGGTAGTAACTGTCGAGCAAGGAAAAGAATGGTGCACTAAGCCAAGACACCCAAAAGACAAGAATCATTGAGGTGATGTGTAGGGTTGAAGAAAGGCTTTTGAGCAACATACTACACACACCTGATATATTCAACAAGCTTCGATATGTACACGAAGTAACAATATAGCACTGCTCTCCACGATGCGCCATCCCAATCACACTACAACACATAACACAACTTTCCAAGCAGTTATTTGCATCACTTGGGGGGATACATCTTTCTCCTAGGTTGCAATCGGACGCGGTGGAGGGACGCGGGCAAAGCAACACCTGGAATAAATATTTGGTTTTAATACATTTCTGCAATAATCAAAAGACAACGTGTGCATGCACAACCATGATGCTAGTAGCATGTGCCCAAAATTATATTGTGGCTTTCACTATATGTACACATGCATTGCATCTTGCATTATGCAAATCGGGGGCACTGGTTGCGGCCTCCCATATAGGATATCTTGTGTTCCTTGGTGTACTTGTAGATTGGGTTTTTGTTCATCTCGTTTCACAATTTATCCCCAGTGCATCAATTTAAGCCAACACAATATACGTTGTGGGATTGTTGTTTCTTTCTCCTTTGCCAGCACTCAATTGTTAGGGAGGCTTGTATCCCCTTTGACTTGTACAAACTAGTAAGTGTCCCAATGAATAGAGAATGGCTTCTTTATGCAAACCCCTTCAGGTATATATTTGTTGCCTTGGTGTATGCATATTGTTTCGATCACATTCCTACCACTAGTAGTACTGGTGGTACTAGTCCAGTATCTCCTTTGGCAGTGCAAAGCAAAATTGAGCCCATTGCACACTTCACGAATATGGTGCGATGCAATGTGCGATATGTTCTTGCACTCTCAAGATACATAGTACGGCACACAAGTACACACATGCACACACGCACACACACATGGCACCCATGCAACTATTCCAATTTTGTTACATTTCCACTGCAGTCCATCATGGATTATGCCAAAACACAATGCCACCCGTAGTAGCAAACAAATCGTTAGATTGCCGCCCCTCCCAACACCCCACACACAACATATACCTCACCCCCTAACCTCTGCAGCATATCTGGTTGCAACTTTATGGGCTCCATCATGATTTCTTCATGAATCTGAAGTGCTACTTGACATCCGGGAATTGCAAAACCGACAAAGCCACAGGCTCACATGGTGCAAAGATGTGTACAAATACGCGTGGCGAGCGTATAGAAGGAATGGACAAGAGAATGCTCTTCTGCACACACACACATGTCTGCCAATACATACACGGCATCAACTTAAAGGCAGATTTCAATTGAGGAATTCAGCCCAGCATGCAAACCCCCCCAACCTAGTAGCAGTGACCATGTGGGAGGCGCCCAATGGCTCGCCCTCTTCGCATTCCGGCAGACCAACGGGTCCGAACCATCTTGCCGTGCACTGTTTGTGGCACCGCCAATGCCACCTTTCAAGATCCATGCTCGGTGGACCTTATGCACCCTTTCTGTTATGAAAATGCATGGGGTTGAGCTGTAATTGACCATTGTTTTTTTCAATTTAACTTATTACAATAAATCGACCTTTGTTTGGCCTATTTAGAAGCTCTAAAAAGGCTTCTAGCCTCTTGAAACATCCAAATCCGTTAAGAATTGAGGGAGATACGACCTCCCAAAATTCCAGTACTTAAGGGACTAGATGCAAGTTGGATGGGTTATGGTGTATCCGATAATCGGGTCGGTTCTGGGGTATGTTGGATGTATATGACGGTTGCACTATGTATTGTATAGTAGATGTTTGATTGTTATAGATGACTGGCCCCTGGACTGGCCAATCACCGTGCATATAGGGGAGGCTTAGTCCGACCACTTGATGTTGCCGTTCCTGGCTCACCGCCCACGCTCCGCATAGGCTACATAGCCCGGGGAACAACTGCCCATACAGACCACCATAACCGAACAACCGGCTTGTCCACGCCGCATTCTACGATGGCCAAACAAGAATGAGCACGCGCTCTGATTACGCCCACCTCCCGCGAGGCGGAGGTGTTTGTGCTATGTATGGGCGGGCCAATGAGCGACAGAGGAATCTAGGGGCGCCAGTGAAACCACGGCATTTGGGCCTATGTGCCACTTTCAATCAACAAATACCCAACCAACGGAACGTTGCTCACCTGCTTGCGGTTTCCTGCTGCTCCCTGGGTGTCCCTCGTCCCCATCCCCTCCCCATACGCATGTGTGCCCTCACCCTGAGCTCGTGCCGCTGGCTGTCGGTGCCGCCCTTATTGTTGCCACTACTGTAGCTCCCTCGCCGCCTCCATCCCCCGCTGCCCCGGCGGCCAATCTGCGATCGCCGGGCTGCAACAAGGACCTCAATGCATTGCTGATCTCGGCGTCGATCTCCCCACCTGCGCCATCTATGGCTGTGCTACGCTACGCCAACCGGCGGCTTGGCCCTTAAGGCAGCAGGGGGTGTGCGCCGGGGGCGCACCAACAGGCACTGGCGGGCGCCGGCGGGGCCCACTTGGGAGAACGTGAGAAGTCCATGTTTCCACCGGCTGGAAACCCACGTATGGGAGTGTGCCACTTTGGGGGTTGGGGGGGGGGGACTTCAACGATGTGCACGACCTGAAATAGAAATGGTCCTTGTCCCGTATACGCATGGGCCATACGCCAATCCCATTGGATTCGGCAAACACCCTCAGAGCAAGAGCAGACGGCCCCGCGCAGATGCCAGCTCGGCCTCCACGCGCGCACACCGCCAGGTCAACACTCCGCCACGAGACCCAACCCCTCCCTCGCTTCCTGCCCTCGCTCCCGTCCCCGACAAGCCCATACCCTGCGGTCCCACCTCCGCTTGGTCGCCACAGCGAGGGCCCCCGCCGCGACGCATGCTGCGCATCGCCTTCCTGGTCACCCGGGAGTGCCACCTCAGGCGAGCCTTGGGCAAGATGTCCCAGCAGCTGCGCCACGCCGCTGCGACCAGGGACCCCCTCCCAGGTCGGCGATCCCCCTCCGGCTTCGCGAGACGCGGTGGCACCTCCCCGCGCCGGTGATGGGCTTGTACGAACCGGCAATCGAGCATTCCGGAGAACCGGAGGTTTTTGGGGGACTGCCATATGGCGAAGACCTGTCCAGAGGGACAGGGCCGCCCCGATGGAGTCCCGCCCCGGAGGCGGAATGTTTGCGAGAAAATTTGCGTGGGGCGGCGGAGTGCGCGTGATCTGTGGCGTCCCTCGGATCGGATCCGCCTGCTAAGCCTGCAAGGAGCCTCTGTGTCCGTATTTCCGCCGCCCGGTGCGGAGCCAGCCATCCGCGGATTTGCAGCCTCCCCACATGGGGCAGCGCGGTGTCCTTACGCCTAGCGGGTGCTTCCCATCGTCCACGCCTATGAGGCCTCCGCCTCTTCGCCCTCTCGCTTCCGATCTGTGTCCCGCCCCTATCCGGCAAGATCAGCTGCGAGCCCGCATCCGCACATGCATTGGCCCCCCGTCAGCGCCCCGCAACACACGCCGGCGCGCCTCGCCTCTGCAGGACGAGCCAGGCCCTCGTGCCTTGCACAAGACACACGCAAGCACGCCTCCAAAACGCTTTGTTTCGTTCCGAAAGCTTCGTTCCGAAACGCTTTGTTTGCTTGGCTCCGTTCACCGGGCGTTCGCGCCTGCGCTCACAAGCCATAACTGTGGATGTAGATGTCGACTCGGCTGTCGCCGCGTTCCCTGGGCCCCCGGAGTTTCCACAGGCCGCGACGGCGGCGCGATTCCCGGAGGCCGCGCACGACGTCATGGGATTCGACGACCTGCTGCCGGAGGACGCCAGGGCCGTGCGCCGCCGCGTGAGGGAGTTCATGGTGGGTGGGGGCGCCCACGAGGAGGTTTGGGGTGATTTCTGGCAAGGCGGGGATGGCAGTGGCATGTTGACTCTGGCAATTGTCCAATTTGGGCTGTGGACACTTTGCCGAAACCATTGCTTTTGTTGTGGATTAAGTACGACAAACACAAATGGCTTCAGCTGAGTTGGTTCGCTAACAGCAAGCCCTAAACCAACAGCCAAACTGCTGACTAAAGGGCTGAGCTCAATTGAAAAAATCACAGCCGTGCTGTGTTCGTCCATTGCGGGGAAGCAAAGGTGTGCGCTGGGGAATTGGGAACTGACTTGTGTGACACTTCCCCAGATTTCGGCCAGTAGCTGTTTCCTGTTGCATTGTCAACATTTGCTTCACGCCTCTTTGCTGCAGGCTGCTGAGGTCGCGCCCAAAATAGCCGGCTACTGGGAGCGGGCTGAGTTCCCATTTGAGGTCCTTCCTGAACTCAAGAAGCTCAACATTGGAGGCCTGAGCGTGAAGTACCCGGGATGTTCGGTGCGGCCTGCTCCAAGTCTGCCACCTACATCTGAAACGCCTGCAAAGACGTGCCCATGAAAAGCGATCTTGTTCTGTGTGCGAACCATGTTGAATCTCAGGATTTTTGTCAATAGTGTGCATGCACTGGGATGGGATCAAAGCGTGCCATTGTACCGTTACATTGTGTTGTTGCAATGTATCATATGGATTTCTGCTGGGGAAAAGCTTTCACAAATTTTGTACGGATGACAATGCATCGATAATCAACAGCAACTGTAATACTTTTAACAAATTTCAAGGATTTCAGCTATTGGAAAGTTTCCAGCGAGCACCCAAACTTCTTGTGGAATGAGAACCATTCTGGAAATGACACGCGTGAGCTGAAATCATCCCTGAACTTGACTTCGCCACGTTTGCAACAAGACCTCTGAACCTACACGACGGCAATCCAATTGCAATGGGCATAATTAATGAGGGCAGAGGTTAAATCTGGTCCAAATTAATGTTCAACCTAGTCCAAATTGATGATCGGTCCTACGAACAACAAAATACAAACCCTAACCCTAACCCGTACAGCCCACAAAAGCCTTCCAAACCAACCCTAAAACCAAAATCCTGAAGCTTAATATCTACTAACAAAAAATCAAACAATTTTCTTGACCACTTTCACCTGACGTGTGTCAGACATGTATGCTCCATACGGCTGGGCTAGATTGGACTTCAGGTTGGACCGGGTTGATTCTCAGGTTGGACTAGATTCCACCTCCACTGAGGGTGGACTAGGTTGAAGCTCATTTTGGACTGGGTTGGACCTGTTTTCCCTATTTAAATTAGTCAAAAATTCAACTCCTGTGCAGAAGTAGTTGTATGCGTACAGAAGCATCTACTCTGCCATGAAATGGGGAACATTGGTTGCCTTGAAGAGGCACTGGTGTCCTTCTTTGACATCATTGATTGATAATGTCATCGACTGATTTCTGACGCCGTCTCTTCTGTTGCAACGGCAGGGGCTGTCTACCCTGGGCACGGGCATGGTGAGCGAATCACGGTGAAGTCTTTTGCAATATAGTGCTGGACAAATGTGCTGGTGCCTGATAGGTACATATATGTTGCTGATGAACTGGATCAGCGGCGCATTTGTTTTGCGTTCTCCCTGATCACACGTGTGATTGTCCACAAAAATAAGATGGCTCATTGAAGCAATTTGGCCAAGTTTATTGGCACATTGATGTGTGCAGTTGTCTGGGCCGAGGGCTTTGGTGCACACACTGTGTGTTGCACAATATTGTGCACATTGATATGGTGCGTCGGCAAGCTTGCTCCGGGTCTTCTGAAACACTTGTTACTAAGAGTTTGATATTGAAAAGGAATTACCGATGTTGTGTTGACCGCTGTGTGGAGAACTTAGTCGAGCTTTGTTTCTTTCTAACAACAATGATGCAAGGGAGATATTTTGACTTTGACATGGAGATTTCCCAGGTATCGTTCAAAACATTGGGTCACAACTAAAGCAGAGCTAATACTACGCATTTGGTTCCACTTTGAACGCTGCTTGCACAATTAGATTGAAGATTTTAGTGCTGCTCCCATCACATGTGGTTTTATGCAGCGCAATGTAATACGCAGACGGGAACTTTAATGTGTTGATTTTGCTGACAGTGATGGGTGGGCGAGGGTCAAGAGTCGAATGTTGTGTTGCGAAATATGGGCAGAGCTGGAATCCTTCATGCAAGCTTCGTCGACGAATCACGATGCGAACAGCTTTGAGGAGGTTGTGGCGCAGTGCACAATCGCGTGAAAAGGCAGAATTGTGCTGCTTCTGGGTTTGTTGACTCATTCGTTTTGTCTGAATAATTAACTGATTCCTGGAGAAATTTCCGGTCCTTATGGTGCAATGCGCAGGTCATGGCCGAGATGGCAAGGGTGGACGCCAGTTTGTCGACGTTTGTGATGGTTCATGCCTCGCTGGCCATGCACACCATCGAGCTCATGGTCAGTGTCCTTCATGTCGGCTGTTCAAATCAAGCATTTTCGCCGTTGAAACACAATCCGAATGGCATCATGTATGGCATGGGTAATACTTTACCAGTGCATAGAAAGGAATCTAGAAAGGTTTACGCCCTTGAGGCGGTCTATTGAGCACACAGCACCGCTGGAGCTGCGTTATGCAAATAATCAAGTGTGCTGGATCGAATGATGCAACAATGCAGCCATGCTGTGCCAGTCATCATTGCAGCGGCACAAGCTCAGGGTCTGTCGATATCGGACAAAATGGAAAGAATGGAACGAGGTACACTAGGAAAAACAAGGGCCAAATAACACGTGTTCAAACGTGTACAAAATTTACGGGTTTGTGTTGCTTTTGTGTTCTTAGCGTGCAGAACTTTGATGAAATGTGTTTTATGAGTGTTCGCAAAAGTGTTATTTGGCCCTTTTTTTCCTAGTGGTATGTTGCGCCGCCGCAGGGGACCGAAGAGCAAAAACAGGAGCTCCTGCCCAAACTGTCTGGACTGGATCTGGTCGGCTGCTGGGGGCTCACGGAACCCGATCATGGTAGCGACGCCGCAAAGCTCAGCACGACCGCCAGGGCCGTCGAGGGGGGTTGGGTTCTCAACGGGAGGAAGAGGTGGATAGGGAATGGAACCTTCGCCGATGTCGCAGTGATTTGGGCCACGAACGCTGACAACGGAGAGGTGAGGGGCCTTGAGAACGCTAATAATGAGTGCGAATTCTAAAATGCCAAGTGGTTCAAGCAAGGCACCATTTTGGACAGGAAACTCAGCAGCTTATCGTCATATCAACACGGGATGAAACTTTGCGAAATAGGTTCATTACTGTTTTGTTTATTCACTCACACGCTGAATCGCCCACTCATTTAGGTTCCTGTTCGTCTGTTTTGTTCCTTAATTCCTATGTACCTATTCATTCATTTTTTCGTTCGTTACTTAAGGTTCATGCCGTTTGGAGCGTCTGCATCGGACCACAAGAATTTGGGGCCCCGTTGCTAGTCAGGGCACGCGCTCAACCAGCGTGTATCTTGAAGAGCTTCCCTCTCCGCATTCAGAATTGTATGAAATCTGCTGCGGGGCTCCAGGATGTCCAACATGCTTTTCACATCTTGCACCTGGCGCCCGTCGTTCCTCATGTGCTCGCCTTCAGAGGGTGGATAGCTCATTCTGAGAGACTGCCTGTTTGCAGCAAACAGGCACCCTTTCAGGACAAATTATTACAGGCAAGTGCTGCAAAGTAGTGAACCTCATACCAAAAAAGAACTTGCATCATTTGGTTTTGAATTTAGGGCGCAGGTCTTGGGCCGGCAGCCGCCAATTGGTTCCAATGACCTCGTTTGTTGGTGGCTATGGATTTAACATCGGCCTGTTGGCGTGGACCCTCCAGATCAACGCGTTCATTGTTCGAAAAGGGACGCCCGGCTTTCGAACCACGAAAATCGAGAACAAGATATCCCTGCGCTGCGTCCAGAACGCCAACATCCACATGGAAGATGTTTTTGTGTCGGAGGCTGCGAGGCTGCCGGGAGTGACGTCAGCGCGGTAGGTGTCCGCATCACGCTGCAGACGCACATGTGCGAAGTTTGTCCGATACCTGCATCCTGTGTCCGGAATTAAATGAATCGGTTTGTTGGGAGGCTGCATTCGTACCAGGTACTTGTTTGTTTTTTTCTTCAAAATGCAGCCACAGCACCTACTGCACATGTTTTGTTGCTGCCAAAAAATCAGGAGGAACCGTGGAGTTGCGCAGGTTCAATGCATTGCTGAATGCGCTGTGCTTCAGTCCAGTATTTGGACGCTCCCAAGGGATTCCCAGCCTGCCAAAAATATGCCCCCGGGTCCGGGATGGCCCAACACACGTGTGCTGCCTCTCTTGGTGGACTTCAGGGCACTGGAAGGGTTGAGCGGCCAGTCTCGCTCAGGCTCTAACGCAACGATCGGCACCCATCGCGATGCACAGCCGGTGGAGGTTGCGGATTGTTGTGCATCCCGCCGTCGCTGATTTGCGGCAATGCCCGCCGTCGTCCACGGCGATGCAATGACATATCTGGGATCTGCCGTGGCCAGCAGAACTTTTGGCGTCTGAAGGCTAGCCGTGGAACAGCTGCGTGCGCCAAAAGCTCTCCTTTCGTTGCGGATCTCCAATCAATGGCCTGGTTGGTGCACGGAACGCCTCCTCACAAGATGACATCAAACCCGCCAAACACGACCGATGGAGGGTGTGGATGCTCCACCGGAGACCGCAAGTGATGTGTGGTGGTGCTATTGCGTTCCGCAAGAGCGGCGTCACACATCTGTTGCAGTAGCATCTCTCAAAGCAGCGCGAACGGCAAAGGAAACGCCCCTTGTGACGGTTGCCTGGAGCAGCCGCGTCCAGACATCTTATCGCTGCTGCGAAGCGAGTTGGCAATCATATTCTTCCAAACTTTCTGCCGTGGCCTGAACATTTGCAGCCACCCTGCCCAAGGTGTCGGCCCCTTGTGAAAACGCCCTGATTGGGAAGTTGGCCGACTTCAGTTTTTCCGATCCGAAATTGCAATGTTCAAAATGCCGTCAAAAACCACGGTCGGGATCGACGATCGAGCAGCACAGATCTCGGTTCTGCGACCTCCGTGCCTCGAGAGGAAGGCCTCCGACCTGCCGCAACAACGGCAGCCGCAAATATCCACTCGGCGCCGCGCACCGACAGTAGCAAAGCGACCTGGTCAAGGGGCCGGGGCTGGGGGTGGGGGGTGGCAGCGCGAGCGTGAGGAATTTGGAGTCTATGATGAAGTCATGTGGGTTCAAAGTACTGCGATATGACCTGTACTTATCCATCCTTTACAAAATTTGATAGCATGTTATGACCTCGTAGACAGTACTCTGTCCAGGTTTTAAAGAAAAAATAGACAGAGCGTGATAATAAGATGGCCTCCCAAACAAGTTATGTGATTTAATTCCGTACAGAAGAAGTACCATTTCCGGATATGAAGGTAATGAAAGAGTTATGAAGGTCATTAAGGATACGAGTTCTGTAAGAACTAAAACACCTAACCCTAGCAATAACCTTGATGGCCTTCATGTCCAGAAGTGGATCGGACATTTGTGACAAGTGCCCCTGACAGTAGCTGTTGAGATCCAGGGCTTGTTTTATTATGTTGATGCACTTCATGCAGGTTGATTTCGTTCCTTGGAAGTGGCTACGTTTTCCACGTTCTGTCAACAGTACACAGAGCAAGCATTGCGATACTGAATCCACTGAATTAAATGGTGGTTCGCTTTTTTGATTGGTGAACAGTGACAAAGCAGAATTTCGTTCAATTACATGCCCAAAACACAGTATTGCCACACAAGGTTTGGCCTTATGGAAGTTGCCATTCCCGCATTTAATCTTTGGTGTACATCTTGACTTGTAGCAATCCTGTAAACGATAATATGCATTGCTGTGGATTTTAGTGAAAATCAAACTATAGAAGCTATCGTGTAACGTATTTGGATATGTGACAAATATTTGAATTACATATACTTACAAAAACATACTTCTATGCAGGGTCTATTTCTCTGAATGTTTTGCATTTAATTCTGCAAACCATTACACGACAGCACCGGTTGTCGCTTTTCAGTGCATATGCATATCCTGTTGATGATACACGATTTTCAGTACTCTGGTATTCCACATTTATAGTGACCTGGCTCATAGTTGCATTATATCCATGCAAAGAATACACTTTAGTCTTCGCCGTTCTCCATGATTTGTATCCGCGGCTGTTCATAAGGCATTCGAAAATTGAAGAGCGTGATCAAGACCCCTGCAACACTTGCGCAATGTCGGCAGTTTGCAAGCGCTCAAGAGTCATGGGCAGCGACGTTCATTCGTGTTTTGAATTGCCCGTCCATCAAATTTGATCTCGGCTTTCAAGCCCCGGCCAGGACCTCACAAGTGGCTCTTGCAGAGACACCGCCAAGGTGCTGTCCACGTCGCGCATCACGGTCGCCTGGCAGCCCGTTGGCATCGCCATGGGGGCGTACGACGTGTGCATGCGCTATGTCGGGCAGAGGGAGCAGTTCGGATCGCCCCTGGCCGCATTCCAGCTGGTGCAGGAGAAGCTCTCTCGAATGCTGGCCAACATTCAGGTGACACAGGCGTGAACGTAGACTGGAGTTTCGTCACGGTTTCAATCAGTTTAGGAAACACATTTGCACTATTGAGAGTCCTGCTCGGATGGTACATTGTCTGCCCGCGCCTCCCATGCGCCTAAGCAGGGCCAGCACTCTGACGAACCAAAAATGTTGTACGTCTGAGATTTGGCCAAGCTCTTTTCTGTGCGTCTTGGTACTCCACTAGAAATGAATTGAATCGATTAGATGCATAGTTGTATATCTTGCGCATATCGTGCATATGCTGCATGTATCTTTGTGTTTGTTGTTGCAATGCGTTTAGTGTACATTGGCTTAACACCACTTCGCGGCGGAAGACGCTACTACCGAAGCTGCCATGTCGCTCTGCCGAATGTTGCACTCCAGTCCGGCGGCGCATCACTTCGGTCGGCACTTGGCGTCCGCAGACTCAGGAGCCATCCGATTGCCTCTCCGCATTCCCGCCAAGGCAAACGCCACAGTTTTCAGTTCAATTATAAATTCAATAACTTGGTGCATTAGTCGATTGCCATATTAGTTCAATTATTAGTTTCATATGTAATTTCAGATTGAGTTCCAATTTGAATTTTGGTACCGTTTGCCTTCTCAGGCCATGACGCTGATGACATGGCGGCTGTCCGAGCTGTGCGACTCCGGCCGGTCCACCACCGGCATGGCCAGCCTCGTCAAGAGCTGGAACACCCTGAGGTGCCGAGAGACGGTGGCCCTGGCCAGGGAGCTGCTTGGGGGCAACGGCATCCTGTCCGAGTTTCACGTCGCCAAGGCCTTTTGCGACATCGAGGCCATCTACACGTACGAGGGCACGTACGACATCAACTCCCTCGTTACTGCAAGGGAGACCACGGGAATCTCCGCCATTAGGGCTCCAAAGAAATGACCCGCGTGGGTTCCTTTGTTCTTAATGGGTCTCAAAAGACAAAGTGGTGCCCTTGTACCTTGCGGGCGAAGACGGGCGTGCGCATATCCAAGAGCGTTTTTCTGTCCACCACCCGTTTATTTTTCCTCTCGCCATCAATCAGTGTGGCGCGCGGATTCTTCTGGGTTTGGGGCTTCATGGGATAGGTTTGGAAGTGGGTGTGTACCCGGGGACTCGAATTTTAGGGCATGCAGAGACGATGGGCTTCATTGGCGGGGTGCCGCCTCGGGGCGCTGCGGATTCTTGATGGTGGAGAAAGCAGCATTGTGGTAGACCTGGGCCTGGGGGCGTCGAATGGTGCGGTGGCAGTATCGATGACGTGGCGGCACGTTTTGGTGCGCTTGGTATGCGGGGTGACGGTGCAACTGCTCAGCACCATCGTTGGCACGAAGCTGTTTCAGATGGGCAAGCTGTTGCCCATGGGCGACCCTGCCGAAGAGAAACGATCGCCCCCTCTTGCAGGGCTACCACATCGTTTCTCTGTGGCCCTATCTGCCACAGAAAGGAATTGCCCAGCTTGAACAGTTTAGTGGCGTGTTCGAACAGCGCTGAAGGCCTCGAGTGCGTGCGCCCGTGAGGCATCAAGCGTCGGAGCCCTAAGGAAGTGCGGGTAGGTGCAAATAAGGGGCGCTACGCGTTAATGAACAACACTTAACAGTGTTCTATGCCTCTTGGTTAGGCCCGAGCAGGACCATTTCGTGTCCTCGTATCAGTGCATTGTGGGCTGAATGGAGCAGTTAGACGTGACTGCGATTTGAAACCATCAACGATGCATCCCTGACTAAACGTTTAGTCAGGGATAGTAGGCTCTGCGCAAATGAGTAACAGGCCCCGTTTGGCAGAATTGAGCACCGAAAGAATTGGCAATGCAAAACATACAAGTGAATGGAAAATGAGAAGGTGGCCAAACCGATAGGTTTTTGCAACCATTTTGCGCGGTAGTGCTGATACAGCGCACAGCAGCATTTGCACGGACGCGATGTCCAGGGAGATCTCCGTGAAAGATCTACGGAGATGCTGTCTGTGTACTGCCAGGTATCTGACTGTAGATACTATACGGTATGTGTATGTACATCCATCCATGCCCATGCTGCCATTCAAGAATTGGGATTTGTGGGGTCACGCTTGGGCATCGTGTTCCGGCTCAGGGGGTAAACTTTGGCGCGCGGTGATGCTGAAGGTGGTGGCCACAGCACTTCGAGGAACGCCATCTGAGGCCAGATCCTCCCTGTCGCCTGGCGGGGTCGCTATGCCGTGTTTGGCGGGAGCTGCACTCGAATGCAATCGGAGAGGGCGACTTCCTCGTTGCTGTCTTGGCATGCAGAGGACGCATATCTCGAGCTGTCTAGGGCAATCCCTCCACCACACCATGCGCTAACGGATCAGTTGTGCGAAGGGGAAGCAGTCCATAAAAATCATCCCAAGAACAGAAACGCCACAGATGTATTCTGAATATTCTTTCAATACCGGAAAATGGACTAGTCTATCAAATTTTAAAATAGGAATTATCTAACTCCCTCAAAATCAAATACTGATCCAGTGTCCCGACCCCATGGTGTCTCCCACAGCTGTTATCTGAGCCCCATATTTCATCTACAACAGCCTCATTGGACCCGCGATGCATGCGACAACGCCCCCGTGCTTTCACCAGCGCAGTGGAAGAATTCAACGCTGTTTTCAGCAGCCCCCAGCACTTGGGGTGTCCCTTTTCGAGGTAGCAAGGGTCCTGGGTGGCGACTTGGCGACGACTCATCCGTGGACACTCCAGCCCCGCCACCCTTACATCCCATGCGCTCAGTGCTGCCGCCGTCACCCCGAGCACCCTTTTAGCCATGACACTCATCTGTGGTGTGCGCAAGTCGCCCGATGCTGCCGCCGACTGGAGCTTTCGAGTTGCTGCAGTGGCATATCGACAGGGCCGTGTCCTCCAGCCGCCCCGGGACAGATTCCGACAGAAAGGGGTGGTTGAGGGCCTCACGTGCAGTCAAGCGCGCACTGGGATCGTACCTGCGAGAAAGGAAATCTAGGTACATCCAATAAAGTACTTTTCGAATAATTTTCGCTTAAGCTAGTTTTGACTGTTGTTCAAACTTGGTGGTTGAACCCCCAAAGGAAAGCTGCCGTTATCCACGCGAGGGAATTTCCAGGAACGCTTCGCATGAAAGAAAAATATCAGTACTTGGTTCCATTTACCACACTGCGTCACAGTACGTAGGAAAATGCAAATCTTTTTCAAAATGGGGTGATATCAATGAAGATGTTCATCACTCCTAGTTTAGAAATCTGACATCGCGCAGGGAAAACGTTAAGACTGAAGCAGTGTCCCGAAATGCCGCAACCAGTGCACTATTGATGAGCTGATCTGATCTTCCCGTGCGCATTCAGCACATGCGCTGGAACTGAGTAGCCCAGTTGGAAGTGTGGTGGAAACGACGTTCTCGCACACAGTACCTCCCAGGCGCGGAAAGCAAGCCGTAACCGGATGAATGACAGAATAAGTGTACAAGCCAGATAACACCCAAGACAAGCGTGTTACTATGTGGTTCCATTATTTCCGTGCACATTTCACCATAACCTGACACCATGTTTACCTTATGTTTTTTCCACCACAAAAGGTCAACGTACCGCACAGTTACTTACCAACTCCTTTCTGTTCGCATAGGAAGGCCAAGGAAATGATTCAGAGCAGGATTCAGTTAATGGGACCGAATCACATCAATGAATTTGGTAACGCTTTCCAAGCGCGCCTTCAAATTACCTTAGCATCTTCTCGAGAAGGTTCAGCGCGTCCTGGGGCGCCTGGGGCAGCGCCTCTTCCAGGGGCGTCCCCGCCGACTCAGCGAAAAGAATCTTTCCGTAGTCGGGCAAATTGGACACGCCCGGCCAGCTGTTCTCGTCCATGGTGCCGAACAGTTGTATGATGAGGCCCAGCTGCTCGATGTCCGTCTCCCCTCGGATAAGGGCCTTGCCACCTTCGACAGACCACCCATCTGGCATCTTGATTTTTGGGCTTCGTTTGTCATGAAAGGTGCGCGGGACTCCTAACGATATTTGAACATTGAAAGTATGGATTTTTGGGGACATGAGAGGACTGCTCATGGCAGCAAAGACTCGATAAAGCTTAACGAAAGCTCAAGGGGCGTAGTTTTTTTAGCATTGAATCACTGTTCCCTGGATTAACGAACCAACATTTCTGTCATTTGGACAGGAAACATTGACTTAATATGGGAATGTCTGCTCGAAATTAGTAATAAATTGAACAAGAGATAAATATTTGCATGTGATAATGACTTAAGGATCTGTAGCATACCCAGCGCCTCCGCAAGCAGCATGCCCGCGGCCCAAATGTCCACCGCAGGGCCGTACGACTTGGATCCAAACAGCAACTCTGGAGCTCGATACCACCTAACATGGCATTCAGCGAAAGAAACATATACAAAATAAGCACACAAAATGTTTCCATATATGAAACAGAATTCAGAGTACCTGCTATAGAAACTATTTCTACACTTCTTCTAATAATAATTTGTTCACTGGAAAAAACATTGATTATTTAAGTTTATCGGCAATAATCTTAAATAATGAACAATACTTGAATAGGATAAAGCAAGGAGCAAATTACTCTCTGAAGAATGTCATTAAAGATTCATGATAAAATTTTGTGTGGCAGAAGATCGGTTATTATGCTATTCGATTTCTGGCGATCAAGTTCCACGCCGCGCATATCTAATACGTCGGAGCCCATCGGATTTGTAGCTTCCCACCGTTTTGGAAATGGGTGTTTCATTTAAATACTTCGGCGACAAATAGACAAGTCTGAAGAGTGAATGTAAGCAGTACACATAGAAAGCGCACACAGAGAGTATATATACAGTACAATACATGTCTATAGTTGCCTTGCATTTACTACTGTGTAACATATTTTATTGGATTAACGTGGTTTCCTTCTTTACATTAATTGATCGCTAATTTGAAAGTATGTCTTTTCCACAAAGATATTGCTTAAAATCGAAATTTTCGTTGGTGTATTGGCAAATATCCATCACGTAGTTCCATTGGAGATAACCGCTGTTGCTGCTGGTTGGGCGAAATTTTATGTCTCGGCCTTGTTGCATTTGAATTATGAATGACGGATGGTATTTTTTTGGCAACAACGCCAGCAGAAACACGTTCAGCCAGGACTTCATTCCTTTCGACAAAAATTTCCCGCCATCGGTACGATAAATCCATTGCAACGGGCAGGTGCTCATGAGCATCTGCTCGTTGCAATGGATTTGACTGATCAGTCAGCAACAAATGGACAGATGGTTACTGGTACCTGGTGGCCACTGTGTGAGTGTACTGAGGGCCATCGTCGTATTCCTCGAATCTCGCTTGTCCGAAATCTCCCAGCTTGACAGTCCCGTCCTCAGTCACAAGAACGTTTGAAGGCTTTAAATCTCGATGCAGAACGCCTGTGGTGGGAAGAAAAGCAGCTAGAAATTTTGCGATCGAGAATTCCAAATCTTTGCCCAATTTCGTGCATGCATGTGGTTGTCGTGGACGAGTGGTGGAATGCGCAGAGCGACTTCCAATTGGGCAATGCATTCAAAGCAGTTGCTGTGCAATCTATCACACCATTTGCAAAGAGATGATCGTTTAATTTGATCTGAAAATCATCTGTGAAAACAATCCATTGGGAATTCCATTGTTTTCTATAAACGGTATATTTTGGTGGTATCCTGCGCAGCTCCGGCGTCATTGCATTCCTCATATATCAATCACCTGATCAAAAATGTCGAGATTAATTCAAGCACCCAAATATAGGCATTCAGGAAACGGTCTGTCGTACTGGATGCATTGAAATAACTGCTGCTGTCTGCGTGGGGGCGCAGACGAGCACAAGGTGTACATGTAGTCGGTGTACTTTGAAATGTTGCCAATGCTCAAAACGACGATACCTGCATTCTTCAAAAATAATGCGCAAGTCGCTGCACCGCCCACATTGTTGTAGAAGAAATGACCTCGAAACGATATTTTACAAATTCTGCCAACGTCGTCTATTGTGGTAATTTACCAGCACAAACATGGAAACTGACATTTCCTTTTGCTCAAAACAAATTTATGCATTTGAGATGTCCATTTCAAGTCGGCACTGCTTTGTTTTGCGCACAAGCAGCAACCATGGCATAGACGTTCTGGCGAGGGCAAAGTCAAAGCATTCAGCAACTTCTGGGATATGTGTAATTACCTTGTGCATGACAGGCATTCAGCCCCTCCAAAATTTGCCGCATCAGGCTCTTGACCCTTCTTGGCTCCATCCCTTCCTCTGCCTCACTGAGTACCCTGCCCAAATCCGTGCAGCAATGTTCCATAACGATCATTAGGTAAGATCCCTAACAAAATCAATGCCATGAAATGAGTCTCAGAGATCGGTAAATACCCGCAAACTTACAGTAAGATCAATGAAAAACATTCTGATTAAAAATATGAGAAACCAGCAGCCTGGCTGCCAGAGCACCTCCACTGAAACCTGCGAAAAGCGGCTATTTCGGACAGATTCTAAACATAAGTTACGTCCCAAAACACCCTGAAATATCAGCGTGAAACGTGCCATTCCTATGAAGCGCATCTCCACAATGAATTTCGGTTGGATTTGTCAGCTTTTCTGCACTACGGCTTCGCATTGTTTTCATGGCCGTTATAAGATGCAAACGTTGGAAATTTTCAGCAGATGCGGCCAGCATTCAAAAAATTAGTTGATTCAGAAAGCGGCTCCCCGAACACACCCAACACTGCCCGATGAGTACACCTGTTACACAAATATTTAGAAGCCAAAATTCATCATTTCTTCATACTTTATTTATGGCATTCCTCCAAGATTACGGATAGACAATATAACATATAAATAAGCTCATTATGAGATTTCGAACCATGGAGTGTCACTTGGATACCAATTGGATAAGCGCGAACAAAGCAATGCGGTGCGCTGCACTGAGTATGCTGTAATTCACTGCTATACACTGAACTACTCATTGTAAACTGAACTGTAGTGCAGAGCAGCTCACTGAATTACACTATACCGTCTCGCCAAGTGCCATGGCGGAACGGCAATTGTAAGCAGTTCAAATTGTTGAAATTTCATTTGCCCAGAAGCGCGACGCCATTCAGCTGCTGATTTTGCTGCTGCTGTCGCCATTTCTGTGCTGCATTTCTTTCGGGATTCAGAAAATTTGAACTACGGAAAGAAGTTTGATGAAGTTTCCAATTGCTGAACCTTTTCGATGAGCACTTGAAAATGCACAAATAAAGATAATATTCAACGCTAGCAGTGAAATGTTCTCTCAGCGAAACAGCCGCAGTGATACGGCTGCGAGAAGCAGTGCTTAAATTTGCTTCGAATTTGCTATGAACATGGGGAAGATTTTTAAAACATGTTCATTGTTGTGCGTGAACACAGATACTGAAATACATAAATATATAACTGCATAATAAGCATAAAAATTTTGCTAGACAAATACGTAAATAGAGGTGCATACGGAAAATACAAATCTGCATTTTCCGCATTGTCTATCTAGAAGTTATTATGCTTGCGAACTGTCTTAACTTCTATTGCTTGTAACACCTGACGCAGCCCGGTGGTAACCAACAGCAGTTTCTGTCATGTCAAACGATATGTGAATAATTAGGCATAAAATTGAAAATTTTCAACATTGGTGGTGGAAAAGATGTAGAGAATTCCCCAGAATCTTGTAATACCAAGGGATTTGGTCGCTGATGGCTGGTTCAACCAGGTGAGCACTTCGCTGTGCATAGTTGGAATTGAGGTGCTACAAAATATTCTATCTGGCATTAGTTCCTTTCGAAAATGTACTCTGGCGATTGTTATTGGGCTGGTTTTGTACCAGTGCTCTCCAGCAACCCACCTTCCTGTGCACATCCAAAAGCTTCACCACATTTGGGTGTTCAACGCATCGGAGGGCGTCCACCTCTCTCCGTGCGTCGAAATGGATCCCTCGAGGAGGTTGCTTCAGGTAAACGCGTTTCAGCGCCACAATGTCTCCGTTGATGAGGTCTTTCGCTTTGAACACCTTCAAGCCGATTGGACACATAAAATCTGTGTTTCGAAATTGAAGTGGGCTTGGGTGCTGGCTCAAAAGCGAGTTGGATACAGTAGGAAAACAAAATTTAAAGAAAATGTACGGAATTAGCATCGTCTTTCTCCAATATATTTCTAGTTAATTATACAATCAAAGCATCGCGTTTGCATGCAAGAGGGTGCAGCTTCAATCTAAATACCAAGCTCTTTGCCAAACGCAATTCCAACAACGGGCAATGAGAGAAAAGAAATCAGCACACGTTCTCATAACCTAAGTAAACTTGTTGCTGCCCCTGCTGGAAATGCCTGATATTCGCGTGAGAATGTGAACGCCGTCCGATCGGCTTCGTTGCAGACAAACGCTCCGGCCTCTTAATGCTGTGTGCTTTGTACACTTTCAGTATTTAATTGCATTGCATTGGGTCAATGAAAACAGCTGTGCTTTGCCAGGGCAACCTAAGACTGCAAACTGAGCATTTTTTAAACCTATATTCTTGCTTCTTGGATTCGCTCACCTGTGTGCTGCCGATGCATTCGTGTTTAATGTGTTAGAAATGGTGGCCACAGGTTCGGTTGCCGGGAAGTATTGTGTATGACGGACAGGCACCAAGAGCGGAAGCCGGGCTATGTATTGCCGCACAAACTCGGCGGCTAGACTCCAATTTTCAGTTGCAAAGCACAACTCACACTTCCAAAACAAGAGCGCTCAATGCGCAGTATCCCGCAGGGACAAAGGAGCAAGCGCCGTTCACACTGCCCCAAAGGGTCACCTTCTTGTGTGTCTCTCAAAACGGTTCCCTCGCTGCCGGAAATTCTAACCCAAATCGTCCTTCTCCTACGCGCTTTACTCCCGCTCCAGTCCATTACCTCTCCAAACGCCCCTTGCCCGACGCGGTTCAGTGTCTTGTAACGGGGAACAGACCCATTGTTGACAATGTCTTCCAGGCAGTCGAGGTCCATGCTGGCGCATCTCGCGGCGCGAGATGTCCGTTTCCCTTTGGGCGGCCCCGCAGGCATCTAGGAAGAGCTCCGCCCACGGTCGCCAAAATTGAGCCGCGGCCGTGCCTCCAAGATGTCGTTGGGATGGCTCCCAAAGTCCGCGATGCCCTCTTTTACACGCGTTCTGATTAACACCACCACGGTTATAATCGTTCCATTTCGTGGCGACTGGTAGCATGATCAATTGCCATCGAAAGTTCACAGATCATAGATTTAGTTTGTATTTCTCATCAGATTCCCATGAACCAATCACCGACTCTGCTTTGCTCAGGCAAAATAGGAAGCTGACGGCTACCTCATTGCCTTGTTCTGTAAAAAATCATGATGATGATGATCAATTGCCACCAAGTAAATTAGTTGAATTTAGTAAAATGTGGTGCAAACTGCTCATTATTGCAGTCCTGCAGTGGGGGCCGCTGGCTCTTATGTGCGCATCCTTCGTCCGGAATTGGATGCCGCCTTTTGGAGTAGGCCTTGGCTTATTCCAAAAGACGTCTCTTGGAAGAAGCGAATTGAGAAAGCAGTCAAATGTCAATAGGACGCCATCATTAGAAAGGCCATGTGCTGATCCCAGAAATCGCCCTTATGTGCGCTGAATGTCGCAAGTTAATCCGCTATGTATGCCTCCAAATGCGCTGCCTTTCTGCCAGGAATCGGCGATTCATGTGACTCGTTGCAACGCCGCCAATTGGCCCGCCATAGTTTCCATCGCGCAGCATCGCCTATGCCTTACCACCACTCCCGCTTTAAGACGAACGCTGTCGCGACTATTTTGGCGGCGTTTTCATCTCCAACCTCCTTACACCGTGAGCCCGCGGGAAGGAGCCCCACTCTTGGACACCACTTCTTGGGGGACCGCAAGACCTTGGCAATTTTCGAATTCTCAACCCGAGTTGAGTGTTCAAAGTATTGCCATTGGCTCTGCGCTTTCCATTCACTACAGGAAATTTAAGGCGTTTACTAGGCTCGCACGTGGCGCAGTGTCCTGATTTTTAGGAAAAAAGACTTTCTGATACAAATTCGGCTTCCCAGGCAAAAAGGCCAAACACATTTCCCGGAACAGAAATTGCTTGTCTGTCATTTTGTTGGATCGAAAATGCGCTGGAAGGCCCCGTATGTATATCGGGGTTCTGCGGCGCTTCACTGCGTCGGCTCTGACGTCACAGGTGAGTGGCCACTGATCAGTGTGTACACAATGGTGAAACCACGGTGCCGATTGGATGACGACACGACGCCGGTGACCCAACGTGCGAAAATGCCGACCGAGCACGCCAAAGAACGCCCAGTATGCGCTGAAAAAAATGCGATCATGCCAATCGACTCGAATTTATCTTTGAGGCTTGGCGAGGCGCTGCGTGTAAACCGCCTTTCGTGGTTGCGACTCCTGGAAACCAGGCACTCACGACATCCAAGTTCTGCCCTTGGTGGACTTGTCCAGGGCACCAGGAGTTCCCCGTGCTCACGCTGCACTGCAGCGGCTGCCGTTTGCATTGCAGGGGTGGTGTCTGCTTGAAGTAATTCGGTCACAAACGCTGGCATTCAGCATTGCTCATCAAACCCACCGAATATTGCGGACAAGTCCCATTCATCTGTTAGGCACACGCCCCACACGCCCCACACGCCCCACACGCCCCACAGTCAGTGGGCAACTGGCTTTCTCTCGTCAAGACGAATCCACACAGGGGCTTGGGGTGGATGTTGGCAGATGGGCCATGGACACTAACGTGGTCCCAGACGTGGGAGGCATACAATTACTGGCTGCACCAAATCGGTGTCTTTCTGCACTATATCGGTGACTGCTTGCACCAACGCCCTCCAAAACTTACCTAGACCTAAAACCTAAACCCTAAACCCTAAACCTAAACCTGCCCTAACCCTAATCCACAACCTAAAGCTTACCCTAAAACTAAACCTAACCCTGAAACTGAGGTTAGGACATAGTGTGCACGTGATTAAGTGCAAGCAGTCACCGATTTGGTGCAGGCAGTAATATTATTTCGACGTGGGATGTGTGCCGGCAGGAGGCGATGCCAATGCCAGGCAAACACGGAATCGCTGGACATTGGCGTGCCAAATTCGAACCTGCCTCCCACCGGCTGGCCCGCACCCGCAGCGAAGGTGCTGGCGCCGCGCCCAGAAAGCCCCAGACGCCCCTGCGGCCGCCCCGGGCCGGCACTCCCCCCGGGGCGTCGCGCGACCGCGCAGGGTCAGGATCCCCTCGACAAACTCCCCCCCCCTGCCCCCTCCCCGAAAATGTCGAAGCCCGTGTCCAACAAGACCCTGGCCCAGATCGCCCGGGTCATCCACGGCTCCAGCGCGCTGGTCATAACCGCCGGCGCCGGCCTGGGCGTGGACTCCGGCCTGCCCGACTTCCGCGGTCCCCAAGGCTTCCACGCCGCCTACCCGCCCATCGCCAAGCTGGGCCTCTCCTTCCCCGACGTCAGCACGCCGCGCTGGTTCGCGCAGGACCCGGCGTTCGCGTGGGGTTTCTTCGGCCACAGGCTGGGCCTGTACCGGGCGGCCAGTCCGCACGCCGGGTACGGCATCCTGCTCGAGTGGGCGCGGCGGCGCCCGGACGGCTTCTTCGTCTTCACGAGCAATGTCGACGGGCATTTTCGCCGGGCCGGGTTTCTGCAGGAGAGGATAATGGAGCGCCACGGGGATATTAATTTTTTGCAGTGCGCCGACCCAGCGCGCTGCTCCGGCCGCGGGGACGTCGACGAGCTGATCTGGCCGGCGGACGACCTGGAGGTGGAGGTGGACGAGGGCACGTTCCGGGCGAGCCGCCCGCTGCCGGCCTGCAGGCACTGCGGGGGGCTGGCGCGGCCCAACGTGCTGATGTTCGACGACTACCAGTGGCTGGAGGACCGCACGGCGGCGCAGGACGAGCGGTACAGGGCGTTCGCGTCGCGGCTGAGGCGCAGCGGAAAGCCGTTCGCGGTGATCGAGGTGGGGATCGGGAGGAGGGCACCGTCCATTTTGAGGTGTTCTCTGCATTTTCTGAGATTGTCTGTCCATTTTTTCGGCTCCATGTTCACTGTGTGCGGTTCTCTGTCCACTGCCTGCGGTTGCCTATCCTGTATTGGGTCGTTCTCTGCCCACTGCCCGCGGTTGTCTGTCCATTTTTTGCGGTTGTCTGTCCAATGCGTTCGACGTCCGTCGTGCATCGTCCGTTGTTCATTGTCCGCTGTCATGTTGGTGTTGATCGAATTTGGGAGAGCTGCAGCGCTGAGAGAGCGCCTTGCCTGCAGGTGGGCGCGGGGGAGAGCGTGCCGACGGTTCGGTGGGAGAGCGAGCGGCTGGTGGACGGCACGCGCGGCGGGACGCTGATCCGCATCAACCCGCGGGACCACGGGGTGCCGATCGCGGGGGACCACCACGAGGTGCCGTTGGGGGGGCTGGAGGCGCTGACGGCACTGGAGAGGCACATGGAGGGGCTGGCGGGGACGGGAAGGGGCGAGGATGTCGGCCAGGCGAGGGGCGACCTGGAGGGTGAGGCCCGGGCCTTAAGGGACGACGTCATTTGAACTGGGTTGAGAGGGGAATGGCGTGCTTTTTGTTTTGTCTTGTGTGCATGGTATTGACGAAGGCAGGTAGGGTCCGACCCCTGACTGGGGACTGCAGGCTCAAGCACATGGCAACGGTTTATTGCGGAGCAAAGGGACAACAGGAACTCTGTCCCTTTCATCCATTCCATTCATCAGAGTCCTTAATTCAGTTACTATTGTCTCATCACCTCCTAATGCGTCCAGCTATTAATAATACCCAATCAGTTCTGGTTGCAACAGTACCTGGTCGAGTCCAGTGTGCTGGGGTTGGGTTTCTGGACACTTTGGGGCGTGGGGGCGAGGGACATCGTGGAGCACATGATGCCTGCCGTCATGCCGCCTGGAGGCCTCCAATCATCTCCTTGCGTAAACCCGCGAGGTCACTCGCCAAAAGACACAGTTAGTAGATCCCTGTGGGGATGAGGGAATGTTGGGTTGGGGCTGACTCCAGAATGCTGTGTGACGCTTGATTAGATGACATCTCTCAGCCAGAGACTGCAGCAGGTTGTCAAATTGGTCCGGTTGGACTGTACCACTGGCTGCTGATCACGTCTCGCTGGTCTAGTTGCTCAGGTTGACCTTGTGCAGGCCTCAGAAAATTGGCAGATCCACACTCTTATCTTTGCCTGGCATCAGGGGGATGGTAAAATTGACGTTTCTCTGCCACTTGCCCACATTCACCATACTGTCCTTTCAGGATCATCCAGCTTTGAACTCACTGCAAGATTTACTGTCACAGCGCAGGGCATCCAACAAACACATAAGTTCTGGAGAGAGCAACAGTGAAGGAACGCACAACTCCAACTTTAGTCGTTAAGTTTTACAACACCGCAACACTACTTACTACTTTGCCCAGCATGGATCGTTCTGACAATCAGAGTGGACTGCTGAACCACAGTATACGTCCTCCTGTCCGATTTTCCTCCATGCCCCAAATTGCTGTTGGGCAGCTGTGACTACGAGTGCCTATTTCCCTTGCCGCAGAGCCAAAGCTGTCGAGGCATGTAGGCGATCCACCTGCACTATCCCTATTCCAACGGCAAGCAAGAGCTGCAAATTTCATCTGTATTTTATCCTAAGATGGGTCATCCCTGCTTGTGGGTTGTCTTGCAATCACCAACAAATGCGGTCATAGTGTACAATGGGCAACCAAAATCTGGCATTTCTCTGCTCCATAACAGTGCACAGAAATATGCACCTCATGACTTCCAGCACAAGTGCAATGGAGGAGAGGGACCAAGCAACTACAGGTTGGTGTCGATGGCAGGCACACAATCATTCGTCTCCTGTGCCCCAGATGCAGCGCACAGAGTTAAAGGTTACTGTGTTGTTTCAAGCGCCGCCCTCTTCACAGCCTGGATGGCCTCGCTTATACTACGTACTTTCTGCAAGACACATGCAACAAGCACATCAGTGAAACAGAAGGCATTGAAGTGCTGGCAATGCAGTCACAGTTGTCCTGCTTCCAGCTCATATTAGATTCAGGATCAGATGCTGCATTTGCCCTGAGCACATTGAAAGGTGCACAGACTCTGTTGTCATGTGCTGACAAATGTCATCAAAAGATTCACTATCTCAGCAGACAGGACACCAGGCACAGCACCAATGTCGGGCCTGTCCCGCTCCTGAGCCACTCACCACATCGAACCCCATCCTCAACACCCCAAAATTGGGACCAGATCTGATGCGCACATCTGCCCCAATGGCATCGACTGCGATGACGGTTGCATCTTCTACCAGAGTGTCATCAGAAGAGAACATTATTTGTAATTCTTCTTTGCAGCTCTCATTCAGAACCTGGCATTGCAAAGATCTCACTTCCTGACCATTGAGAGCTTTGGGACAACAAATGTGTGTCAACGATCAGCACCTGCCACATGGTCCAGCCACTTAAGTGCTCAAATGCTGATATCCTTTTGCACATTTGTTATGGTATTGGCACCTGATGCTGTTTCCTGTTTTGGGACAGCTGTGCCAAGTGCTGAAAGCAAAAGTAACCAAAACTTTTGCACTGAGTTCCGCAGCATGAGCTGGAACCACATGTATGCTGCATTGTCTCTTTGCAAGGACTGGCCTGGTCCAACAGAGGGTGCTCAACGCTGGGTTCCAATTCAGTACAGAAAGATGCAAGTCCATAACAACTCTGTGCACAGGCAGCAGCACGTGTTCCTTCATGCACATTGCCAACATCGCTTTGCAGCCATGTCAGAGTTCTGCTGAAGCATGAACAAAAGCAGCTGATAACAAGATCGACATAAAGCAATGAGTCCCAGCACACGTACATGCAGCATGTCTTGATTGCTATTCATCACGATGTCGTCTGGCTTGCACGACACATAATCGGCCACGTCGATCCACTGCACTGTCCCAAAGCCACCCACAAAGAAAATGTCCTTGATGCGGTGCATCCTAAAGTACAGGGTGTTGCCCGTCACATACTTGTCCTGGCCACTGCTCGATGTCTGGAAGAGCTGCACACACAACAGAGACTGTCAGCATCCAAGAACCATTTACTTACACTGGTTGCAATGCTGCCCAACAGGTGTGAGTACAGAAATACGTACCACCTTGTGCAAAAGTATGCAGCATTTTTGTGCACTGCATCAATGAGGATACAAGCATGGGCTGTGTGCTGATAATCCAGTATATTTTCAGTGCTGCATCGTACGCAGCATGCATTAAGAGCAGAATTGTTGGGACAACAACTTTTCAACATCTGCTGGCAAATCGCCCATACCGTTGCAACGGCACATTGTCAGCATAGTGCCAATGCACCCATGATCGTATTGTCATATCCAGTGCTGGACATAGTTACTTCCACACCAAGTGCCCGGTTTGCTAAGCACAGTATTAATGGCACAGCCTGGATGCCACAAAGGTACCATCGGCCACCAAGCTGGATTCATACAATGCAGAACAGTATGGAGGAGGCCACAATTCTCTTTTATAGTTATTGGGGGGCAAGCAGGCCCTGCAGCATGCTCTCTTGGCTAAGCGGTGGCTCAGATGCGAGTCAGGCGTCCATCGCATTTTCACACATGTGCTTGGAAAAATGCTGAGTCATTTCTTACTCGTGCTTGACTTGGGCCAAAGCCAGGTAAAGGCCGTCTGTTGGAATCAAGGAAACAACATGATGATATTCGTATTTGCTCGACAAAACAGTGGCCCAACTCCTTGAAGGCAATGACGGGCACTCATATGGCCCCTGTGTCGCCACACAGCCTGCTAGTGTTCTTGTCAGGCAGATGGTATTAAACGTACTGCAAGTGTGACTTTCCAACTGGCTGCTACTTCCATCCCCTTCCCAGAAACACGGTGGTTTCTTGTGATATGTGTGTGTGTGCCAGTCAATCGAATATTTATGACATCCAGCAACAGCTTCCGGTGGAACTGGACAAAAGTCTGCAGCACATTGTTGAGAGATAGGAGCAAATTACCCCTCCCCAATCACAACTCCTAAAACCATAGCAACAACGCATTAGCTACGAAGCTGTCAGGTTTCTTATATTGCACCAGCTGCCTGAACCCTGTTCCCACTAAATTTTTTGCTGGAATGACAGAATTGTACACCAAATGCTTTGAAAACCTGACTGCTTCATCTTTTGCAAATTTCAGAATATTCTGTCACATTTGCGGTGCATAATTCCGAAACCAAAAAAAGACTGTTCAATGAGAACCATTGGAATGAGAGAATCGCTGTGCCACACACTCACCTGCGAAAATCGTATAAAAACATAGAAAGTGGCAAGGACAACAAACAAAGGCAAAGCAGTGGTGCAAAAGCCAACGCACCTCGCGTGCTGCTGGGTGCATGCTTGGAGGCAGTGGGTACACATCCCCAAAGAGGGTAACTCTGGCATTGGACAGACCTGTCCAGCCTGGCATGTGGACAACCAAAGAGCAGATGGGGTTCTCCAGGATGTTGCGCGTGGGAATTGCAAGGGGGGAGAGCCGGATCACTGGATAGCCAGCACCATCGGTTGCAAAGGTGACCTGCAGTGCGCCACAAGGAATCAGCTTGGCATTGTCACGGCTCAGCACTGCCAGCCATGCAGACATCGCACAGGTCCAGAAATTGCATGCAGATGGATAAAACTGGTGATGAATCCTGGGTGAGAGTGAGAGAAACTCAAGTGCGGCAATAGAGTGGGTGGAGCTTTGTCTTTAAGATTATGCAGATTTCATACCATCATATCATATCATCTTTCACACTTGCTTCCCCTTGCACGATGTCACAAGATAGCACAAGGTCCTAATCCGTTCTGTTGGGAATACAGCAGCAACTGGACTCCTGCATGTGATGCAACACTTTAGAGCCTTCACAGCGACAGATTCAGCTGAAATGAAAACTGTGCCACAACAGGTGGCGTGGACGGGAAGATGCTCATCATCGTCTTTGTGAGATGCAGGGGGGTGCACTGTTGTTTAACAGTTGCACTCATGGAACTGCTACAGCAACAAAAGTTCAACAACATTGTTGCCAACAAAGCCTGCATGCTGTGGGATTGACTTCGCTTTCTTGAAGTCGGGGCCCCTTGGGGACAGGCACCACAAACATGACCACGAAAACCATGGCTGCATGCGATATTACCCAGCTCCTCCATGTCCTTGCATCATATGCATGGGATACTCACAGTGATTCACAGACTGTGATGTGATAAAGATACCCATCTGTTTCTTGTTCACTCTACACTGCTGAGGTAGAACAGGTGATTCAAGTTCACTTGAGCTGCTGATTTTGGGGCACTGCTGGGTGCCTGCCACAACCCCCTGCTTTGTCAAGGAATTGTGGCAATGACAAGGCTAATCATGATTGGGATAGCCAGAAAGTATGTCTTCTTGTAAAGTTGAAGATTCCAAGGCATTGTCCAAATAAATGCAGGAAGTGGGGATACTGTGAGCACTGTGTGCATCCCCAGTTGAGCAATTGACAAAATTCCCTTGATCGCCACAGAATCCACTGGCCCAGTTGAGCACATAACCTTGACAGCAGTTGGAAGCATCTGCCCAGCATTGTGACGCCCTTGGACACCACACAAAACATGATGCTTTCTTAACCAAAAGAGCTGAAGACTTGAACCCAGTAGAGACACATGGAATGACCAGTGTGTCATTTCCTCAATGCAGCAATAGACGCATTTAGTCACGCGTTGCAGCGGGCTTTTGAGGAGAATGCTGAAAGCAACCTTACTGTCCATGGGCAGATCTTGATTTAAAATGGCAAGAAAATTACAGCATCTGTGATGTGTTGACGATCACGGTGACGCTGTTCGGTGGACAATAGTTGCTAAATGGATGTTTAGGGAGAAGTGCAACTGTTCAGTACCTTACCAGAACAACAAGGACTGCATTTGCTCAGCAAACTATTGTTACCTGAGTACCAAAGGGACATCCTGCCCTCCTGTGGTGCATGTTTGACATGATGGTGCACAGCTGTGCCGATTCAGCTGCTTCCACCTGAATGGAGCAGCAAACAAAGTGCAGCAGTTAATGCAGATAACAGAGGCAGCTACAGAGGGATGCCATGCTGTCAAAATGGTGTACATCCTCGCATCCTCGCATGCAAGGCAGCGTCGAATGTATGGAAGGCTAGACCTTGAACAATAGGTCAGTCTTATAGAACATCTGAAGGACGAGAATCGTCCATTTGGCATTGTTTCCCGTATTCGATTTGGTACTAGACAGAGAAAAGGAAAGTGAAGACAAACCTAAGGCTTCAATCAGGTCTGACAGTAGATTGTGCCCAATTTTGTCAACATGCACACCTCTGCATGTTTGACGTTACTGCTATGCAAATCAAGTCCTGTTGCAATGGACAGTGAAGTGCTGCAAAGTTGCTGCTGGAGGCTGGGAGCACATGTACAGAATTAGCCTGCCCTCCAGTGGTCTGTCTTTTTGTCGGTAGTGTGAAAAACGCCTTACAAAATGTTCTTTGGAAGGGAAGGGGGGCTGGCCATCTCATATATGCCATCTCTTTGGCATTCGTCAAACACACATGGTGACTGTACTCTTGATGTTTTCCAGATTGCTCTGAGATTCCCCTGCATAAATCATGATGCCCCTGTCCCCTGGTGGATAATCTCCAGCAGGAACACAACCAGGATAATTCAGCCTGTGCGAAAGGTGCCCATCTGAAGCCCAGCGACCGCAACGCAACAAGTGGCACAACAAAATGTGACCTGCTTGTCATCCATCAGCAAAGTTTGCACCAAGCAAACTGATGCAACACTGCATTGCACAACCTAGCGCAATGCAGCTGCATGTGTATATTTGCAATTCTGACATTGTATTGCCACATACCAGTTGTACAGTTGGAACAGAACGACATCCCTTTTGCACTTCTCACCAGGTTTCTGGCTGCCAGCTGCGGCGGTGGGAGGTCGAATTTCGTGGTCGCTGTTTTCACACCGCAGGCAAGGGCCCCACTCCTGAGGCTGTACGTCTTCACCGGCCCAGTCTTCACTGGACTGGCCACAGGTTGAGCTGATACGCACCGGCAAGGAACAGCATGTTGATTCATACGCACAAGTGGTAACTTCACAGGAGCTTTTCGCTGACTGAAATGGCTCAAAACTGGGTCCATCCCCAATGGCCCAATTCTTTTACCATGTTTCGAGAATGCAATCAAAACAGCACAGAAAACAAGGATGAGTTGCGGAATCCGAAACAAATTTTCACGACAGGAGGCCCCTCAACACGCACCTGGACCCGGGGCGCTGGTCGCCGCTGTCGCTCGATCCTTGTGCACCCCATCCGCCTCCGGCCCATCGACGCGGGCGCACTGCAGCCTGACGTTGCGCCTGGCGCCCCCGCTCGCGCCGCCCGCGGGCGCTGGGCCCCCTCGCGGCTCTCCGGCCCGCGCGGGCGCGCACCGCCCGAGGCGCGGCGAGAAGACCCGCGCGCCCATGACGCGCCCAACCCGGGGGACGGCAATCCCCGCGGAGCCAACAACACAGTGACAGGCCCTCCGGGACAACCCTAATCGCCACTCCCGTCGGGCAACGCGTCAGGCTCCCACACTTTCCGCGTTTCAGGCCATTAGGGCCAGTCCGTCCTAACACAGGGGACAACGCCCCCTCTTCACCCACCCTCCCGCATTCGTCCTTGGACGCATGTGACCTGGCGGGGGTGAGGATTTTCACCCCGTGCCCCCGCCCAGCCGTGTCCGAGCTCACTGAGCCCGCGGATTGCACGCACCGGCAGCCGCGGCGGCCCTTCGCCAGTCCTCGGGCAGCGCCACTCGAATCCCTGGCTGCCGCTGCAAGCGGCGCTTGCGCTGGTGCCCAGGTCGTGACACGGCGAAGGGAGAGAAGGTTGAAACTTGGCTGTGCGCCTCTGGGCGCACAGGTGGAAGGACAGGGGGGTGGGGAGCGCCCCGCTGCGCCCGCGAGGGGGGAGGGCCCTCGACGCGGGCGGCCGGCCGGCGCGGCACCCGCTGGATTGATTTCGCCGGGCTTGATCGCCGGGCGGGCGGCATCGGGGCGCGATGAGCTCCTCCGGGAAGAACAAGGTGGGGTGGTGGGGTGGTGGGGGGGGAGGATTGTGGTTGTGGGGGATGGGTTCGGTGGGTGGGACGTGGTCATGGCGGCGGGGGTTGGGAGGGCGGGCGGGTGGACGGGTGGGGATGACGGCCGACGATGTTTTGGGGCGGGGGGGCGGGGGGAGGTGTGGCGATTCTGCTCTGGGCTGTGGTCGTCCGGGAGACGGGGGGAGTGGCGTGGCGTGGGCGTGGGAGGGCTGCGCTGGCCCGCACGGAGTTGAGGGATTGGGGCCGCGGGCGGGGACGCGCGATCGCTAGGGGGGACGGGTCGGACGGACCGGAACCTGACTGCGCGGGAGGGATGATGTTTGTCGCGATGCCTTAAATGGCTTGGCGCCAGCTTCGATCCCAATGGCCCGGGGAAGGCGCCTCGGCTGGATTGATTTTGAACGGGTTTGGGAGGCAGCTGGCGGGTTTTGCCGTGCACCGAGCTGGGTGCTGTGGGAGGGATGTGCGTTGGGATGCGGGCTGTCGGTGCTTGGGATCAGGCGCGATTTCGACATGCCGCCTCAGCCTTCGAGACGCTGCCGGGCAACTGCTCCTCCAGACTCCTGCAGAACCGGACGCAGCGTTGGGGCACCTTTGCACGCCCTGATCACCCCGGGGTCTGCTCAGTAGCAGCACAGTTTGAAGTGCATTTCGAAGGAGACTCAGTCCGCTGCTGTTGTGTAAGAATCTGGGCCCACTGACGCCTGCGCAGCGACCTGCTGCTGTGTTGAAGGATCCAGCAGGTGCTGCTGGGAAGCTGGATTAACGCTGACTGGATTTCTTTTTGCCCCCCCAGAGGATACACATTGAGCCCTTCAAGCATCCCCCCCAGATGCACCCACACTATGCAGGCAAGACATTGATTGGTACCGATTACCTATTGTGATCATGCCGCGTTTCTATTGGTGAATTGAAACGGCGGACTTCTCAGCCAGAAATGCCTGATGCATAATACTGCTCTGATGAACACAGGCTGCACTGTGCGACTTAATTTTATATTGATCTGTGCGGAATATGAGGAAAACCAGTTTGGCTTGTGCTGTTTTTGTGTTTTCAGAATGGGCCTTTGCACAGCACGACTGGATAAGATGAGCTTTCAGTGCTGTGGTGCTTGGAAAATGGTCTAATCTTTATGTGCCTGTTGAGGGCGGGGTTTGGGAGTTATTGAATCGCATGTTGACTTTCTGTTCAAAGGGCATGCATGATCGTATACCCTTCAACCCTGTGGCAGATTCTTTGCCAGCCAAATGCAAATGCTGCCACTGGATTTTTAGCCTATTTGGGGGCCTGGGCAGCTCTGGATGACTGTGGAAAGAAGTGAATTTCAGCAGAAAGGTCGTTGCTTAATGGAAGGATTGTCCAAATGGTGCAATGGTGGGGGAACTGGGTACTTGAATTGAAAGCTTGTGTGTGCTTCTTTCCTTCGCGCAGAGCAAACTTGGAAAGTCCTGGAGGATGCCATCGAGAAGATTCACAACCATAACGCGAGCAAGTTGAGTTTTGAGGAGCTCTACAGGTGGGTCCCTTTGTGGTGTTCGGTGAGGTTGATTTTGATTGTTGTGACCTTGGGGAACATGTGAAAGCTGTGAACATGTATTGGATAAAGAATCTAGACCTATCCTGGTGTCAAGAGAGTGGAATGGTGCCAGCTTGCAGCCATGGCGTATGTCGAGATTTTGCCATCTTGTATCTCGTTTCCTGTGCATCCAAATGGTTCCATGCCCATCACAAATTCTCAACAAGCATGCTGCTTGTTCAGAAATGCATACAACATGGTGCTGCATCGGTTCGGCGACAAGCTCTACATGGGCTTGATAAACACACTTACCTACCATCTGCACAAGATTGCAGCTGTTGTGGAGAGTGCACATGGGGAATCCTTCCTGAGGGAGCTGAAGAACAGATGGGATGAACACCAAAAATCAACACAAATGATCAGAGATATTTTGATGGTAAGTACTGGACTATAATGCTTGTGACATTTGTCAGAAGGCTACTGCGGCTTCAAATTGGCTGTTCAATTCCAAATGAGTATGTGGTGTTGTTCCTTTGGCTACACAGCTTAGCAGTGTGAATTTGCCTGCCTGATCGACAGGCCTGGCTTTGCCAGTTCCTTATATGAACACCACACAGGGTGTTGGAGGGCGAGGCTGTTGGTCGAAGCAGGCCCATTGTGTGTATGATTTTGATCGCGGCAGTGTGCATGGTTGGCTGCACTAGACCCAGTGGAGTATGGGCATGGCAGCAGTTACGAATATCAGGAGGATTCCAGCCTGAATCTTGTCTCTATGACAGTTGGGGCCACTACCATAGCCTTTTCAAGCCCTACAACAGATCACTTGGTGCAAAAGCAACAATTTCACCAAGGGCTGCATATCACAAGCGAAGATAGTCCCAGGCTGCCACATCCAGTAAGCAAATAGCGAACGAGAGATAGAACGGCACTCCTTGGCAATTGGTTTCACCAAGTGAGGGTACGACATCGATGGACAGTTGTGACGTGTGGCCATTTTGCCAAATCCATCAATAAAGTCTTGTTGAATATCCTGAAAATGTGTGTGGGTATGTGTTGCAGTACATGGACAGAACATATGTTCAACAGAACCAAAAAACACATGTCTACCAGCTTGGCTTGGATCTGTGGTGTCAAGTTGTGGTGCGAAACCGCCAGATTTCTGAAAGGCTGCGCAGAATCTTGCTGGAGCTGGTTCACAAGGAAAGAACAGGGGAGGTCATTGACAGGTTGCTAATGCGCTCAGTCATCAAGGTGAGTTCACTGTTTTTTGACATCGTGTTTGAACCGCCAGGTTGTGAATATCCTGCTGTTGAATGAAGTGCCAAAGGCAGCTTGTTGAATGAGGCAAAGCCACTGCTGGTATTAGATTATTTGATAATCTGCAGTGGCCATGATGTCTCTTACATTAGGCGTTGCTCCTCAATTTATTGATTACTCTCTGATGAGAATGTGGAAGGCACTAAGGGAAACGAAGAAGTGTATTTGCCCATTTACTTGCCCTGCTTCATCCTGAACTCTGCGAGACTGGTGCCCAGCCACGGTGTGGGCAAAAGAGACTTGGTGCTGGAAGTTCGTTAGTTTGCATTGGACAGGGGAGTGAAATGGTCCTTGTTGTTCACCTTTAGATGTTCACCGCCTTGGGCAAGAATGTGTATGTGGCTGACTTCGAGGAGCCCTTCCTCTCGGCGTCGGCAGAGTTTTACAAGGTGAGTCGCAGACAACAGCCGCCAAACCTCCCACCACCCCTGACATGCTCCTGTTTGGTTGTATCTATGCACATCACATTTTGAGGGCACAGGTGCCATGAACATGGCATATAGGAGAGATACATTTGTTCTGTGCTGCTGGCCTTGTTTGTTCGGTGACATGCATCGCAGCCATGGGCTGAGATGCCCATCCTATATCTGTTTGCCAGGGGAATAAGTGCTTTAATATTCGACATTTTCTTTTTTGGCTGGATAGACCTCCAGATGGACGGCTGGAGCACCGTATGGCAGCGTGCATGCACCATCCATTGGCACATGAACAACGACCTGGCCATGCAGCCACCTTGACGGTCAGATTTTGGCTTGGGATGTAGACACCACAAGCAGTCCAGACACCCAACCCAGCTCAATTTGGCATAGCAAGAGCTGTGCATAGGCAGTTCTCACTACCTCTACCAATCCAGCTGGTGTGTTTATTCCACTGGCACGCATTTGACAACATGATGTTGGTGTCTGACTGTTGTTCAAGAAAAGATTTTATCAGAATTGCTACAGCACATGTAATGGCTTGGGTGCCAATGTTTGTGACACGTATCAGTGTGATCTTGCTGTGGTATCGATGCCCGACACAACACCTATGCCTGAGTGTGTCCTCCCCGACATGGTCAGGTTCAATTCCATCTGGACGTTTCCCTAGCAAGAAGAGACGTGGAACAGATACATTCTTTTCCCTGCATACTGCCTGATGTTGTTGCACATTCGAAGTTCAGGTTCTACTGGATTCCAACGCAGGAAAATATGCAAGGTGTGCAGAGATATGTGGACCTTTTGTCATCAGCATGGATGGTCTTATTCGAGTATTGCAAGGAGCTGCTGCCCTACGAGATTGCCGTGCTTCCCTGAATGGATTGTGTGGGCATGGCTATGTTTCAGAAAGAAGCCAATGAGTACATCAGTAGCAGCGACTGCCCCGAGTATCTCAGGAAAGCTGAACGACGTTTGACAGAGGAGAAAGAGAGGGTTGGGAGTTACCTGGATGCCTCTTCGATGGACAGGATCGTCAGTGTTGTGCAGATGGAGCTGATCTTGAATCAGGTACAGATGTGCACGGACTTGAATGAAGAATACCCAGCTACACCATCATCTTTGGTAGCACCCTCATATGGGAATGGTAGATTGCAGTTTTGGAAGCACAATGCCGCAGGTGGGCTGAAGTGTTTCTTTGTTAAAATCTGGATTCCAATAGCTGGTAGACATTTTTTGGCTGTGATGGTGGGGATTGGCTGGCATTCGTATTGTTGTGTTTTATCATGTAGTGAGTGTCGGTGCACATTTGCCAACCAAGCAAGGAGGCAGCTGCGTCAGATGTGTGGCTTTTTCCTACCACAGCCACATAGCTATACAGGAGATAAAGTTGCTGGACTGTAGCATGGGATATTTTCATTGGGATATCCAGTCTCCACTCATATTGGTTATTGGTTACTCCTCTCAAACATCGTTAGTCTTCCTCTTGTAAATGATTTGCTTCGTTCGGGCTCCTTTGGCCTCTCTGTAGCTTGACTTTTGGTGCTCGTTTCAGCCGCTGTCTCCATGGTTGCCTGAGCAAAACTTAGTCATAAGGAAACGAGAGGTATGCCTTTTGATGAACGACCTCCTGCAAGGTTGCTGGTAATACTTTCCACAATACGTATGCAGTGTAGCGGCAACAAGGAACTCGTTGCTGCTGTATGCTTTGTGCTTGAAATTGTATGCCGTGTGCTGTCGTGCCTTGCACCCTGATTCCGAACAGCTGCGCTGCTCGATTGGCTTGCGACTGTCAGTTGTGGGGTCACAGCATTGAAGTGAAGTCCAGGTCCAAATGACAGGGCACCCAGCAGTGAGCAATATGAGTAGCAGAAAATCTACCCTCAGGGTGCCCATGCCAGCTTTGCCGGCATGCGAATGGAAAAATGAGCACCAAAACAAAGACATTGAAGTTAAGGATAGTCAATTTGGACAACATGCAAGTTGGCTATGGATTTACACCATCTTTTAGGTGCTTTGTCGCGATTTCCAGTGATGCTGCACAATAGAGTCGCAGATGTAAACTGTGTGATATGGCCATTGTTTGCCAGTGTGTGTTGCTGGCAGATGAAGACCATTGTATCGCTTTTCGTCCGCACTTTTGTTGGTTGCTTGATTGTTTATGAAGATAACTGCAGTCCATTTGTCTCAAGATCAGTCGATTGCCTGTTTGCAGATGAAGACCCTTATCGACATGGAGAACTCTGGGGGTGTTGCGCTGCTCAGGGACAACAAGTATGATGACCTGTACCGCATGTACTGCCTATTTGGCCAAGTGCAGGGTGGCTTGGAGCTGGTGAAGGAGGTGATGGCCAACTATGTGAAGGACACAGGGAGGCAGCTGGTGCAGGACCCAGAGAGGTCCAAGGACCCAGTGGGATTTGTGCAGGGGCTGCTGGACCTCAGGGAAAAGTACGAGCTGATTATCAAGCAGGCATTCAAGGAGGACAGGAATTTCAGGAATGCTCTCAACCAGGTGAGGAACCTGAAGTGTGTATATCTGCTTTGGTTGGTTTGGCCACCAAGTGCAGAAATGATCTGTCACCTCTTGAGCACACTGTTGGTGCAGCCTGTAAGGGGAAAGGGATGTGTGCATGCAGATTCAGAGTGTGCCTGAAGGCACCCAATGGGATGGCAGCCACAACAATTGGCTTTCCAAGGCAGCTTGGGAAGGGCGCACCCATTGTATGGCATGTTATCTGCTTTGTTCCGCCCTTCATTGACATGTGACCAGAGTTGTCCTTCTCTGTGGTGCAGGCTTTCGAGCACTTTGTCAACTTAAGTCCCAGGTCACCAGAGTACATATCGCTCTTCATTGATGAAAAACTGAGGAAGGGCATAAAGGTGCACTGGAGTTGCTTTACACCGCTATGTGCAACGTTTTTGTTGCATTTCAGAGTGATCGAATAGCAGGATTTGTGGTCATGCTGCCGTGCATGCCAATGGCCTGTCAGAGTTTCATCCAGTGCAAAAACAGCGACGTGTGCATGCACTATGCTCCACAGGCCTCTGGGGAAGATGGACATGAGCTTACCCCCCAAAAGTAACATACCAAAAAAGGATGTGTTTTATCCTGCTGCTTTCCAGCAATGTCGACCAGCCAAAGGCAGGTGGAAGGACTGATTGGCAAGTTGTAAAACAAAAGTGTTATTGGGAAGCATGCATCTGCTAACATGTTGTCAGTGTGTACTGAAACCTCCACATATGTTTTAGACCTACGAATGTTTGGATGGCTCATGCCATCTGCACTCGATGGAATGAGTGAAGTAAAATGTTGGGGAATGTCGGAAGTTCAATTCAAGGGACGGCCAACGTCCACATCAATGTGCAAAACCGGTTCCATTCCACTGGATGCAGGCGATGTAAGTCGCCATCGCCACGATTCAATATGTTTCTATTTTGAAAACAGCCCGCTGCAGCAAGCAGCATGCAGCTCCATTGTCCAGTGGTCTCTCATTTTCAACCTTCTCTCTGTGTTTCAGGACCTTGGCAACAGCGAATCGGATTTGGAGGCACTCCTGGACAAGGTTATGACCATCTTTAGGTTCTTGCAGGAGAAAGACGTGTTTGAGAAGTACTATAAGCAACACCTTGCCAAGAGGCTGCTCTCGGGGCGCAGCTTTTCGGACGATGCTGAACGCAGCCTGCTTGTCAAGCTTAAGACTGAGTGCGGGTACCAGTTCACCAGCAAGCTGGAGAGTATGTTCAATGACATCAAGACGTCAGAAGACATGATGAGGGATTTTAAGGACAAGCTGGAGGGAAGCGAGACGGAGCTGGGATTGGAGCTGTCTGTACAGGTGACTGACTCATTGGTTCTCTGCCACGTAAGGTGGATGGTGGAATGGTGCTTGGGAGTGCAAGATGGAAGCAATGATTGGACTTGGAATGTATCCCTGGGCTGGTTCATGTTCTCATTTCTGATAGTGTGCCCTGCTGATGTTTGTTCTGTTCATCATGTTATCAATTCCATGCTCTGCCATTCACGCAGGCAATAGCAATTTGATGCTGTGCTGTTCTTCCAGTTCTTCCTTCCACGTATTGTGGCATTGCACAACACTCTGCAGTTGCACAACGTGCAGGTATAGACATTCTGTGGATTTGCGGTTCCAAATCTTGTCAGTACACCTTGTGGCCATGTGTGACAATTTGTGAGGGCACCATGCTGATGTGCACATGAAATGCCTTCGTTTGTAGGTGCTGACCACGGGGTCTTGGCCGGCACAGGCCACGGACCAATGCCTTCTGCCCCGGGAGCTGGAGGCGTGCTGCGAGGAGTTTCAGAAGTTCTACCTCCATGTGCGGAATGGCAGGCGGCTCACTTGGCAGACCAACATGGGCACTGCTGAGCTGAAGTTCTCATGCGGTGGCAGGAGCCCCCATATCCTTGCCGTGTCGACCTACCAGGCCTGCGTGCTGATGTTGTTCAACGACAGCGACAGGCTGACGTACCAAGAAATCGCAGACGCCTCCAAGATTCCCCCGGCAGAGTTGAAGAGGAATCTGCAGTCGCTCGCCCTGGTGAAAGGCAAGAACATTTTGGTGAAGGAGCCCATGAGCAAGGAGGTGAACGACAGCGACGTGTTCACGTTCAATGACAAGTTCCAGAGCAAGTTCACTCGGATCAAGATAGGCACGGTGACGGCGCAGAAGGAGAGCGAGCCTGAGAAGCATGAGACACGACAGAAGGTGGAGGAGGACCGAAAGCCACAGATAGAGGCGGCCATCGTGCGCATCATGAAGGCCCGGAGGGTCCTGGACCACAACAGCATCGTGACCGAGGTGACCCACCAGCTGGCGCCGCGATTCAACCCAAACCCCTCTGTGATCAAGAAGCGCATCGAGAGCCTGATCGAGAGGGAGTTTTTGGAAAGGGACCAACACGACCGCAAGCTGTATCGGTACCTGGCATGAGGGGCGGTTGTCGATTTTTCCCTGGTTTGACGGGTGGGCATGCAACAAGGTCAGGGGGGGGGGGGGGTTGCGTCTAGGGCAAGTAGAAGAGGGGTCGGGCAGATGTTTGCCTGTCTCCAGACAGGCGTTGGGGGGTACCCACAGGCATGCTTTTTGCCGAGCACTTGGGATTCATTGCCCAGTGCTCAGGTTGTTGGCCAATGTTTAGGAACGGGTTGTTGGAAGAGGGCAGGATGCGGGCCTGCGCTTGGGCCAGCCGGGTGGTGTACGAATTCTTATGTCGACTTGCATGGCAATGCCCACAAATTTGTGCGTCCATTTTGCATTTATGTGCACTCAGGAAGGGGGCCGCTTGTTGAGAGAATTGCGGCGAGAGACAGCAGATGCTGCATTCCTGGGAATCCCTATTGCCTCTGTCTTCTTGGAAGCCATTCTGCCGCAGCACCTGGTGGTGCAACTTGTGTGCACCCCAAGGGAGTGGGGTGGAAGGGTTGTACGTTGTTTTTGGGTGCGCTCACCTTGGAGAGTCGCACATTGTGGTAGGGTTGTTGTTTGGATGTGCGTCCAGGGTGTGAGGTGTGCATGTAATTGGGCAAATCAAGATTGTCGGCTGCTGCTTCAAGAGTGCTTCGAGACTGGACACAGCCTTGTATGCATATGGCTGCTGATGCTGTCGTTTGAGGTGGGCGACGACGTCAAATTGGGCCTCAGGCATCCCAGCGCCGTCTTGCACCTTTGCAGTCGAATGTGGGCGCTTTGTGTATGCAGCTTGACACGGTGGGGAGGGAGAAACAGGGTCTAGGAGCTTTTGCTGTGTATTTTGCGTACCCAGTGAAAATGTCACCTTTCCCTTGTGTGTACAGGATTTGTATATATGGCTGCAGCGGGCCCACTTCTTGTGGCGGGTAGGGCCTGCCCATCCAGCAGGGCCCCATCCAGAAAACGCATGCGCTGCTCTCGATGGCTTTGAATGGGATACTGTGCCTTCTGGTGTGGTGCCACATGGGGGCTCACTTGCTGCAGTGTCGATCGTTCAGTCGAGTGCTCGAGTAGTGAGGCGCCATCGACAGTGGCCAACGTCATGCAGCGTCGTGCCTTGATCGTGCCAATATCACTGGGCCTTACAATGCATGGAGCCTGTGGGTAAGGGGTGTACGAATATTCTCTCCAATGGGAGCGACTACTGTGGCCCACAGACGGACCCCCTCCATCAGGTCCTTGCTGCGCACTTTTGAAGATACCGCGCTGAGCATGAACAGGGCTGCAGCGCAAATAGGACGCAAATTCCAGCCAGTGGCATCTCTTCAATTTCTTTGCGGGGTAACGGGGTAATGTCCCGATGTGTGAGCGGGCGACGCCGCGTCCAATCACAGCCAACATGGAAGTTTCGGTCTCTTGTACAACGGCCCCAAGGGGAATTCAGGCCCCTGCCTTCAATGCAAGTCTTGGACACTGCCTCTTTGAAGGGAAAATGGCAGTACAAAACTGTAGAGTGCTAAAGCTTGTACAACATTTTCAGGACCTGTGCGGTAGTGCCGCAGCACACAAAGCATTTCGTGGCCTCCACAGGGGCCATTGGCCGCTCTATTGTAGGAATTGCCACCACATTCCTTTGGGACGTCTATTATGGATCGCGGAAAGCGCCACCCCGACCCCAGACTGCACATAGCTCCTCCGGCTGCTTTGGCCAACTCCGGTAGTTCGGACCGAGTAATTGGGATCACAGGTTCTAAACTGCAACGCAACGGGCGCCAAAAACGCACCAATTGCAAACGGTCCGACCATTTGATTGACCCCAATTGGGGTCAATCAAATGGTAATGAGCGCGCTTGTGAGCAAACGAGGCGCCGCGAGCTGGCAGCAGCGAAGTGTTCCTCCTGCTCCTGGGGGGGGGGAGGCGCAGCGGGGACTGCAGCCTCCACCTTGCGGCCTGGCCGGGTGGCTGGGCCTCCGCACTCGGCGGCAGGGCCTGGCTGCTCGGGCCCCACCCCACAGGTGCGTCGCCCATCCCGGCCCGGCATCGGGGCTCCCGTCGGACTGGAGGCCACGAGCTCGGGCGCTCTGCCGACTCCGAAACTGGGCCCGGTCGCATTCCGACCCGCCGCCGCGTGGGCATCGCCGGCTGACTCTCTGGCGATGGAGGGATAGTCTGTCGGAAGCAAAAGTCGTGTTCTGTGTTCGTTGATCGCGTTGAGACGCCCATCTCGGTACCGCCGAGTTTTGCACGGAGGGAGGGGGAGGGGGGGGGGACGGGGCTGCGGCGACGTAAGGATGCGTGGATGCCCACGGGGTTCGACCTTGGATGCCGACTGCCGCCCCCATCCGTGGAGCTGCCCCCGCGGGGCTGGGATGGGCATGGGCGTCGGTTTCAAGGTCGTCGGGGGAGGGCTGGTGCGGTATGGGGACTGCCGGGTGCCGGGGTGGCCGCCCGGGGTGCTCCTCCGGCGCCGCGGAGCGCGGCGGCGCGGGACATCTTGGCGGTGCCGAGCGTTTCTGTAGCCGGCCGAACAGATTGCGCTTTCTGGCGGCGACTTTTTGGTCCTGGCTCCGTGGTCCTGTGGGGGGTTGGCAGGTCGACGGCGCGCGCTCACGGCGACCTTGGTCGCGGTGGTGCGTGAGGGCCGCAGCGCATCGTTGGCCGGCACCCAGCCCTCGATATTGACGGGCTCCTTTGCTCCAGAAGTGCAGTTTCAACGATGTGATAGGGCGCCCCGTTCTCCTCCCCTGCACGTTTGCCCACACCGCGAAGCGTGCGCTCGATGCGGGCCGTCGCGCGCGCTGCTCGCTAGATCGCCGGATCAGGCGAGCTGCGCGGGGCTGACGCTCGTCGACGGCGATCAGCAGGGGACGCGGGCGGCTGAGCGATGACGGGCCTGAGGGATGGCTGCGATCAGGGCGCCGAAGACGTCGAGAGTCCAATGATGGGACAGGTGGGGCACCCCTGCGGCCGCGAGTCGGCTCTCAGATCGCGGTGCGGCCGCGTTTGGTACTCTGAACAGCGCAGGCGGGGTCCAACAATCACAGCTCTGTGGCAGACGAGATTTGCGGACGAGTTCTGCGGATTCCTGTTTGGGTACCGTTTGCTTGGCTTGGGTGACGGTCATTGCTACCGTTACTTGCGCTCGTCGATTTCTGCTACATCGCCTTTCGTAGCCTTGCACAGGGAGGAACCTTGCAGATGCACTCGCTTGGGAGGCGGTGTGCTGTTTGTCCCGCAACGAGTCACACAACCCTGTTCCCCGCTCTGACGGCCTGGACGTGCTTGGTTCCGGGCAGGCGCCTCGCGCTGACTCTGGCATCGCACCGGCAAGTGGCAGCAGCGACTCGGAAGTGCGCGCTGCTGGCGCTGAGCCGGTGGACGTCAGGGACACATGTGCCCCTGCAGCGCGCGGGATACGAAGGGAGGCGGCCCCAGGCATTTCTGCCTTTGCACAATACCTTGCCACGATGCTTTCGAGCAACCCAACAGAGGTGGGTGCGAGGGGGGGGGGGGATGGGGGGAGCCGGAACTGCTACCACGGTTGCGCTGGACCAAATGGCGCATGTGGACAGGCAGTGGGCGGGGAGTATGGTGTGGAGTATGGTGTACGGGAACCAATGCAGTGTGGCAAACGTCTGACTTGCTAGTTTCACTCATGCCTGTGGTGTCTTGCCTTCTTCTGCGCGATCCTAGTAGTGGTTTAATGGGCGAATCGGGACTGAGCATTGGGGGGGCAGCAAATCACCCCCTCATTTGACGTGGTGCCTCAATATGTTTTGCCAAAGTGATCACTCACAATTGCGGCAAAAGGAATAGCATGCTGAAGAGCATTGTGTCTTATGGCTGTGATCGTGTGAGGCTGTTCGCGGGTTCCTCGCCGAAATGGCCCTGGCTAGCAATGCCGATCATTTGCATGGCAACAAGAGCGGCAGCGCTTTACGAAATGCTGATCGACAGTTGCCTCTGATGCTGGGTCTGCAGACACTGGGCAAGATTTTCGACCAATGGCGAAATGGAGCTGAAAAGGACGCTAAGGGAAAGGATGTGAAGGAAGACGGCGAGGCTGAGCTACCTGTAGCCATTGCTGCAGATGAGGCCCAACGCAATATGTACAGGAGCAGAGGCCCACAGTTAAGGTGAGCGTGGAGTCGCGCCTGGTCGCTGTAAATCCTTTTGATGGCAGTTTTCTGAAGAGTGGAAACACAGCCCTTGCACCTTGCTGGTGATGGTGGGCATCATGCCTCACTGTTGGCACAGTGTGTACTGCAGTGGTATCAGGACTTCAGAATAACAAAGCATTTCTGGACAATGTGGCAGACTTCACAGCAGCCTGGACTGTTCTGGAGACCTCAACGAGCTGCGCCTTACTGCTCAATGTGTGAGAGTGTGCTGGAATTGGAGCAGGCAGCTCTGTTGAGCGATTCCTTGACATATAAGAGACATTTGCCAAGGAGGCAATATCACAATGCCCAATTTATAAGAACAGCCACTGCAGCTGGAGTGAAGTTTGTAAACAGTGAATGGTTTGTTCCAATATAGTCAGGGCACCTTGAACACTGCTGTTGAGGTGCCAAGTGGACATCATATAAAGCGACTGATTCCCAACTGTGGTGTTGATTGTGATACCTTGATGTCTCATTTGCGTTGGGCCTTGATGCTGAAATTGACATGATGAGTTGGTGCTGCCTCAGGCATCTGGTAAAGACTCTGGCAAGATATAGGCATCGCAGGAACACCCACCGCAGGCTGTTTGTGGAGGCACTCAAGCGGAAGATTGAGAATAGATACCCGGCAGATGCATACATTGAGAAAATGCAGGACACAGTGTTCATCACGTCCATCCAGATGTTTGACATGTTCACACCTCAGAGACGTGCCAGGCACCTTGTGTGGGCCACCTTCATGATGATGGCAGTTACATGTGTTGTGTTTGCATTCATGGCTGGCACCTTCCCCCTCTACCGGCTTCAAAAGGGCTATGAGTGAGTCCCCGTTTGTGAATTTGCCACTAGTGACCATTGTTTTGGCAATACAGTCATCGAGTCTGCTGGACACTTTCTTGCACACACAGAGTAAACAGGCCATGCAGCTTTCCCTGCCAAACAAGGTGTTTAAGACTTGTTCACACAGTTCTACATCATACACAAAGATGTGGTGGAATTGTCTTGGTCCATAGGGAGCTGCATGTAACCAAGCAGCAGTGCACTGCTGATCTGTCATGCTAGATTTGGCAAAGAGAATGGTATTGGTTGGTGTTTTGCGCCTTCCTATTTCTCCCTGTGTAAATGCACTGGCTGAAAATGCAAGCTGAACTTTTGGAGTGGCTCCAAGGCACTCCATCAGCCTGTCAAGCCCAGCTTCGCCACACCTGCATGAAAATCTCTAGAGCTGTTTCAAACTATTGGTGTGTGGTTCTCTCGACCCTTGTGGTCACGAGATTGAAGCACGTTGTTTGATTTTGTATGCGGCTGAGCAACGGTGGTATTGGGAGGCTAGTGAAACCACCTGGGAACTCGACTGTTGACAACCTACAAGTTTGGCCAGCAGTTGCTCAGGCATTGGTTTTGCATTTCGTTCTGAAATGAAGGCACACATCAATTTTGTTGTTTCTTTACATTCTCTTTCATTTTGATCGCCGGTTCGAGACGAATGAATTGTCAGGGAAACAATATGCGCAAAAAGGCCTTTCTTTGCTTTGCTCTACTTCCCCCGGCATCAGGTGATTGAGCAATGCTTTGTCTGTTGGACAAATGTAGCCAGCTCAGAACTCCATCACAGTGGTTCTCCAATGTAAGGCACTGCAGCCTGTGGAAATTTGTTTGTTTCTGCATTGGATGTGCGGGCGCACTTGTTACGCAGATACAATATTGTGGCCCATTGCGCAGAAACACACTCGTTGGTAAATGCACACAATTCTGTGCAGAATCCACATATGATACACATGCATTTTCCTCAGGCCAGCATGGACCTACAGGAAAGCCCAGACAGGTTACAATGTTGAACCCATTTGTGTCTGTTGGAAGGCTTATGGACAGGGAGCACCTTTTTTGTTGTGGTTGGATATGGGCAGGGAGAGTGCTGGTGTTGAAGCAGCCTGTTCCTGGGGTGGTGAACAGGATGTGAATCCTGGCAGGCTTTTCATCCCTGGTGTGTCTTTCAGAGTTTGGCTCCTCACCAGGATTTTGTACAGTGCTGCTCAATCGCAGTGTGGGTGTCCTCACTAGCATGTCCTGATTCAACGACCTGTGGCATTTCACAGGCCACTTGCTCTCAGATTGACCATTCAGGAAGACGTTGGGCAGGTGGGTACTGTTGGTTGATTTAATGGCTTCAACACAAAGTGTTTGCTGACAGTGATGGGATGCTGTCGCAGGGCTGATGTTGCTGCCCTCAGTTATGGTCCAGACGAGTTGTGGGACTGGGCAACAGTCCGCAACAGCACTACCAGGTTCGATTTCGAGTTCCTGCTGGGCTGGGGCGGTCGCTACCTGCCGGCAGTCAACGACGGCCAGTCCTATCGCTGGTTCACGTCGATCATGCTGCACCAGAGCTTTGTGCACCTCCTATCCAACGCCCTGATCTTTGTGGTGCTGGGTAGCTACCTGGAGTACAGATATGGCGGCGTGCGGGTGATGGCTGTGGTCGTCTTGGCAGGGCTGGGCGGCAACCTTCTCAGTGCGGTGGCCGAGGATCGCTGCTCGATCGTGGTGGGGGCCAGCGGCGTGGTGTTTGGCTTCATGGGCTTTGGCATCGTGGACCTTGTCCTCAACCGGGAGGTCTTGCTGCACTCTGCCATTCGCTTCGTCATCTGTGCCCTCTTCGTCACGTTCATAGTTATGACGCTTGTCATGGAGGAGTACAGCTCCCACATCTCGCATGCCGGAGGCTTCCTGTGCGGCTTCGTTCCGGCGCTCCTCTTCATCCCAGACATTAAGTACGAGCGCTTGGAGGCCATGCTGGTGTGGGGCGTGGCGGGCTTCGTTGTGATCTTCTTCACTGTGCTGCCCACGGCCATCTACTACAGCGTTCTCCCGACGCTCCAGTGCTGAGGGTTACCTCCCCGTCACAGGACGAGGGGCCCCCTACTACATATAATATCCCCAATAACCCAGGGTTGCCAATTCTTTTAGGCGTAGATCCATCAAGCCTCCGGTTTGGCGTACTCTAGTGCTGTCCCTCCGTTTCGCTGCTGGATGCTTCCCTGGACGCTTGTTCTTCTGATTTCCCTTGTGGATTGTTCCCTCCCAGACTGGACACGCGGCAGTTGAGTGATCAGCATGGGTCGCAGAACCACCAAATGATTCCATGTTGCACACCTTCATCGAGGGGTGTGCTCCTCGCTGCCATGGCTCTAAAGAGCTTGGCAGCACACTGCGCGCGGTTGGATGTGTGGCATGGCGCAGTGTCAAATGTGTGTGTAGTTGCAATGCTACGGGTTTGTTGTCGCCGATATAGTGTGTGCGACAGGCAAGTGGGAAGGGCCCTCGGGGTGAGATCTGCAGGAATTGTACACTGCTGCAGTGCGGGCTGTAAACTACAACTTGATATCTCGAGTGGCTCTGACGTGCTTGTTGCGGTCGCTGGTCTTCAGAGTTCATAGAGCATCAGCGCCAAAGGTCTGGTGCCTACTTCTTGTTTCCTTGTTGACGCAGTGTTAGTCATTGCGCAAGTGGGGCTCGCTGACTTGCGTATCGTACCGAGTTGCTACAAACCACTGTCCCCAGATCGTGACACTCGTATAGAGTGGCACCAAAGTCCGCATAAGATTATTGCTGTTGCTGTTTTATCCATTCGTTGCTTAAGTGGGTCCGCCTAAACATCTTCTATAGAATATTGCTCTTCTCAGTGAGCCAATGATCGTCGTTTATCGGCAATTGAATAATGTCGAAGCACGGACAGGACGCACAATAGGTAATTGCTGTCGGTGCCATGGCCATACAGCAAAATTTCCAGGTGGCAGTTGCCCTGGAATGCGGCTCAAACGCTGCAGCTCCATTTCACGTCAACTCGACGCCTCGTGGCGTATGTTTGTAGCACCATTGAATCACTTGAACCCTTGGTTCTCTGGCAGGAACTGTGGCTCGTGCACAAATTTGTTGTGCATTTGACTTTATCACTTATGCGCGTGTGAATGCTGGAAAATCGGAGGAGTGCAAGGTAGCAGTACCACTGATGGCGTGCCATACGATCGCGGATGTCGTTTTTCCCACTCATTTCGCACGATCTCGCTGTCACGGACATTGCATGGGCTGGAAAAGCCATGTACTCATGTGCTGCTCATGTTGGTGTGTCTCAGCCACAAAACCACTCCATTGCCGATGATGTAAGGAAAGGCACTATGTCGAAAGTGGTACGCTTAGCGTCAATTTGACGCTAGGGTGGGGTGGGGGGGTGGGGGGTGGTCTGGACCCGTGACGCTTAGAGCTTATGCAATTGACACAATTTCGACATAATTTCTGAAGATACACAAAACCCCGTTGATCCAAGGCAGGCGGCTCGTGACATGTTCCAAAGAACCCCCTTAAGCCTTCAAACTTAAAAGGAAGACACCAGTAGACAGCCATCAGGGTTGCCGCAATAACCTGAAGTGGCATTTATCATCCCGTTTTTCAGCGCATTCCAATCGGTACAATTGTGGCCGTTTGTGTTCCTCAAAAATGCCTGGAAATTGTCCAGCTCTGTTATGCAAGGTTGCTGAGCCATCCCGGCCTCGACATAAGGATTGACGCTAGGGGGGTGGGAGGTGTCTGGGCTTGACGTCAAATCGACACTAAGCGTACCAAAATCGACACAGAATCTTTGCTAATCAGGAGTTGCCTATTTGAGCCTCAAATTTTGAGGCAACTGTCAAATGCCAAGTACAACCCGCATTGATGCAAACGTCGGGGCCAAGAGGAGAGAGGGCTCTGAACTTGACCCCAATTCGACTGCAAGTGTGCTACATTCGCTGTGAGTTTACACCTATTGCAGATTCGTGGAGCCGAATGGGGTCACAAAAAGGTGGTTAATGGGCGTTGGACGCTACTCAAGAGCTCCCTTGTTCACGTGCTCCTGACGGCAAAGAACTGTTGGGCCCCGTTGTATTTCAAAGTACTGCTAAGTGACACCGATGCGCTTCAAAATTCTTGAAAGCAGTACTAAACCATCCTGGCGAGGTGTAGGTCACCTACCGGCCCACGAGAGCGCTCTCTGTCAGCACTGCTTATTTTATGAATCCACCTCGCTGGAGGCGTGCTGGCGCTGGGCCTGAAGGCACGCAGAACAGCACGCCCAACAGCATGGTAAAATTCCCTTTCGTGGTCGCCCTGGGCGCCCTTACCGGACTGATAACGATCGTCTCCGTGCACGACTTGGCGCGGCTGGCCCAGAGGGATCGAGCAATCAGGTTGAGAGATCACGACGACCCGGTTATGGGCGTTCGCCACGCGGAGACGGGTGCCGCCAGGCGCGAGGTGGCAGACCCCGAAGAGCGGCCAAAGACAGGCGGGTATCTGCGCGGCCCTGTGGCAGCATTCGGCGAGCTTGAATTTCTGTCACGACCCCAGAGGTGTCGTCACAGAAGAGTCGGACGCACGTGGTTTGCTTCTAAGAGAAGGAAGCATGTCATGGATTGGGCACCTCCCAGAGAGCAACAACCTTTGTGAGACCTTTCCCATACTGTAGAAAATGGTGCGAAAATCTCGGAACGCGACAGGAAGACTTGCATGGGTTGCGGCAGTAGAAATACATGCAGTCAGAGGCATGGAGAAAAGCCACAAGACCCCACCACCACTGAAAATGAGACTTTGGCGATGGACACACCCCGAAAGGTACCCGCCTTCAAGGATATCAATGTGAGCGTCTGTAGCATGGACATGGGTGGAAATGCTGATTGTGTAGTCCATTCCCAATCCAGAATTACAGGATGGAGGTCTCCAACACCAGGACACGGAGGAATCAAGCGAGTGGGATCAGAGGCCAGTCACAGTAGGGCAGTGTCAAATGTTGCCCCACACTGAGTGAGTGCAGCATGAACGCATTTGCCGAACTGGACTGAAATTCGCCGATAGAATTCCATGGCACGTTGCCATCATGCCAAAGAGATTGTTGAGATTGGGATGCTGCTGCGACTCTCCAGGGGAAATGGCTTGATGTAGAGCCCCGATTCTATCTATTGGGTGTTAAGCTGAGAAAGAATTGCACTCGCCACTAGGTCAAAACAAGACAGTCTTGAAGTGAATCATGATGGTGAAGTAACAGCAAGAACATGACATGCTATGCTGTGCACAAGAGTTAACAGTGGGTGTTTTTGGAGCCTGAAACAAGTTGGAGCAGTCTCAGAGTGTAAACGAGGATGGAGCTTGTGCACTAGACACAACTGCTGACTTTGAACAATTGCCAGGGCTTATAGATGTTTATGTGACACACTTGTGCAAAATCGTGTGTTGATTTCCCATCTGTGCTTTCTGTATTTCCAGTTACAATTGGGGAGAGCCTGTCATCTGGGGCTATGGGAACAAGAGATCATCGGCAGAGGAATGCTGTGAGGAATGCATGAATTTCAAACCCAGCACTACTGATCAACCAGAATGCAATGGTACAGTGATGGCTGCCTCAACTTTTCTGTAGCATTTTGTTTCCTCCTGTGATGCAGGCCAACCAGAAATGAATGATGATTGGCAGCTGTTGCAATCCATTTATTGTTGCTTCCTCCCTTCCACTGTGTTGATGGAGCTAGATACTGTACTTCCTGCCCCATAAGTGACTGGCAAAGCAATGCATAAACACAAATGTCTCAGCAAGGAATGGTGATGCATCTTGCACTTTCAAGGCCACGATTTGCATAGTCACGTGCACAACAATTGGAAATTTCCCCTCACTCAGAAACCCTGACCAAGGCTGTCCAGTCTGGACAGCCAGAAACCAGTTGTATGTGGTCTTACCAGCATGGTCGAAGCACATGTCCAAAGACACTGCCCAGCAGAATCAAGAGCATAAAGATCACACCTGTCTCCGTATGCACCTTCTGGAAGGAGCAATGTTCAAAAAAAGGATGTGCACGGTGTCAATGCTGTGGTTTCCGTTGACGCTGCCTTGGCCACAGGACTAGTATGAGCATAAACTGGATTTCTTCTTTGCTTTTGAGGCAACATCACTGAAAAGCAATTTGCTATTCGTACAGTGGAGACATGAGCACCGCTCTCATGGCCATTGTGTTTTGACAAATTCAGAAAATTGAACTGAGAAATTAAACTATGTGATCAAAAAAGAATGCTAAAATAGAGCAAAAGGAAGTTGGTCATACCAGCAAACAACATGTTTTGAGTATTTCCAGTACCTGCACAATGTATCTTGCCAATCGCCCAGGACTTGCAATGCACTGGTGCAGCGATGTGAAGCTGGAGACAACAGACTGCATATGAAAATGTGTAGTACCAGTTGCAGTCATCAATGTGATCTTTGGGAACCTTTGGACAGGTCCAAAGGACACCTATCAATGATTGATGTGCCTTCACTGTGGGCTTGTGCCGAATGCTTTTTGTGTTCCTGCAGTTTGGGTGTACTGTGGTAATAAGACTGGATGTGGCGAGCAATATCAGGACTGTTGGCTTAAGCACCTGGTATGAGGGTCTCGAAAAATGCACACAATACTACCCTTCAATGTGCACCTACATGAAGAAATGAACTAGCATTAGGGACTCAACCACAGAGTGGCTGCCGTACCATCTTGCCCTCCGTCATCCAGACTGGATCACGATGTGGGATGTACACCTTATAAACCATTTGCTGTCCAGCGTTTGCTTGTTAAGGCCCTTTACAGGCCCTGGCATCACTGCTTGCGACACGTGTGCCAAGAACGTGTTGACAATTTCGTGACACGGGGCTGTTGGTGGGTGAGAAATTGTTGCGACTGCAGTAATTAAGGAGTTACTCGGCAGTTGAACGCAATTTAAATGCGGATCAGAAAGTGTGCTTAGTCAGCTGCGTTGTTATCAGTGAGCCTTCTGGTCAGTGGCCAGGACTTTCTGTCTAAACATGGTAACTCTGACAATGGCATGCATTTTAGGGAGCAGGTTGTAGAGAAGGTACGCGTGCACGGCAGCTTTGGGGACAACACTGTTGGTGCTGTATTTTGGTGTTGCAATATTGGTAACGTGTAGCACCTCTTGTCACCCGAGCACCTCTCTTTGTGGGATGTCAGGCGCATCCCAGCGCTGCGAAACCATCCAGGGGCCCCAACGTCTTCTTCACGTCTGGGGTGATCACCGAGGAAACCGTGTTTTCATCAGAGGAGCAGAAGATGCAGGTGTGGGGTTCCTGTTTTCCGACCAACATTCCAAGACCGTGCTTGATTTGCGCCACACCAAGTGCATTTGGGCAGTAGCTTTTTGTGTGGCTTTTGGATACACCCCACGGTGGCATGAATTGAGGGGCAGTTTGCCGCACAGCATTGACCAAGTGTCCTAGTGAGCTGAAGAGCATCCACCTGTTCAATGAACAGGGCACAACAGTCCCAGCAATGAAGGAAAGGAAAGCCCAGTGCTTCAGTGCAACTTCGCCATGTGTATTCACGGCAACATACAGTGGGACCAGCAAACAAACAGTGCCTGAAACAGAGCCCCCCTCCCCCCACCCACACACACACCCACACACACATACACACATGTACGTGGTTCGATCGTGTCTACATTGCTGCTTCACCGACGTAAGAGCTCCATTCGACGATTGGGGCCGCTGTCGAACCATCGGCCACATTCTCAATCAGGATTGCATGCCCCTCTGCTTGCACTTGCAAGCATCATTTCTTGTCTCAATTTGAGTGTCTTTGAAGATGATATTCTGTTGCTGTCTCTGACTTTGACCAGCAGTTGGCGATGCACCTCCAAATGCTGCATGGTGTTTGACAGCTTGTGTGATCCAGTCCAGTCCTCTGAATGACAGGAAGTATCACGTCGTGATCTCAGCGCAAGGAACGGCGGTGCACTGGCAGTCCAGAATCTGTTACTATTGGTGCGTGTGCTGGCCTGGACAGCGCCAACAGACATCACGGCTCACGCGACACGATGCTTCTTGGAATGGCGCGAGGCTCTTGCATCTTAATGTTAGCAGGGCATGCAGCACCGCACACACGCCACCGCCTCACCCAAGACGATGAATTTTGTTCACCCACTGAACTCAGCGCCTGGATAAACGACCCTTCGGACCGCGGTCCACAGTCGATCATCACACAGTCGCCAGAGGTCGCTAGTGCAGAAATTAAAGAGTATCTTCTCTTTGGCTTCCATGACTAGTTGAGCGTTCCACACACCGCTGCCGCACCACAAATTTCGACGCATCACGACAAGATCACGTTGGCGGCCGCACGACTGGGTTCACTTTGCCTGTATGGTGCCAATGCCGCAGTACACTCCATTTTCACATTATGACAAGGGCAGCTGCTTTCGCCAACCCTCGCTTCTGCGAGTCTAAGATGGTGAACATGCGGCCACTGGTGCTACAGAATCTGTCCCGTGGGGGCCCACGGCTTCCCACAGCCTCCCCCTCGCCTTCCAAAATGGGCACGCCTACGTGGGCGTCCCCGGGAGGCCCGTTGAAATGCACTGCGCTTGGCATGCCCCATGTCAGTGCATTCCAACGGCCCTCCCAAGGATGCCCAAGTGTCCCAACCCACGACTGACCATAGTGCGGAATGAAGGGGATTCAATTGGGCAGTTTCTCGCAAGTTCAATGCTAGCGGAGAGGTTTGCTGAAGCACATATTTCTTTCCATTTGCGAATCTACTCCTTGTACATTTGTTTTGGATTCCAGCAGCTGTCCTGCATCCCCTCGTTGCAATCAGAACCCGTTGTCCTGGAAGGCAATGGCTTGTCGAACCCCGGCATTCATGCTATTGTTATGAAGATTCGTCCGCCGAGCGGCGGTCTGTTTCACCAACGGTTTGACCGAGGGTGCAACATCATGCATCCGGCATACTGTGAAGATGGAAAGAGACAGTCAAACATCTGCTTCGAGGAACTTGCCGACGGGTTTGACGCGTGTCGTTGAATTGCCTGTGGCCCCTTGATGTCGCGTGAATACGAAACCCACAACCTGCCAGCCACGACTTTGGGCGAATAAAGCGCGTCCCAGAATATGCACTCAATTCAAGTACCCGCTTGTCCAGGTATAAGAAACGAAAGCAAGAATGCGAAAAGGGTCCCAATTGTGACATGGGGGGCTTCACTCGCATCTTGCATTCCGGGCGGCCTGACGACCTCATGGACGAAATACCCACGTACGTCGCGAAACCGCTCCCAAACGAGGCGGAAAACAGAGGGTGAGTTCCCGACTCGGGGGAGAAACCAAGGTGTGGCCAACAAAAAGTGGATAGAATGGCGGGACGGATTGCTTACCTCTGGTTAGAACATACCAACAGCCGCTGTTGCCCGCCAGCAATGCTCCTCTGCTATGGTGCATGGTGAATCATGATTACACAACTTTTAAACTGAAAGTGTGTGAAACGGTAGCCTTAGCCGAGCCAGAGGCACGGTGAGGGAATTGAAGAGACTCACTTGAAGGAATGCCGGCGTTTTTATGGCAATTTCTGGCATGCATTTTGGCATTCATGATGGCGGCGTTCATTTTGGACTGTGGCATTCCATCCGGGCAATACGCCGTGGGGGCAATGTTTCACAAGCTCGCAGGGCCGGTCGCAATTCATTTCAATGCCTGCAAGCGTGTTATCTTAGGGACTCTCTTGCAAAATGATTGGCCAGGGCGTTGGCTCTTCTCGAATGTGGTGTTTATGCGCTGACGCAGCGAAGTTCCTTGTGGCCAACAGATATGTAGTGTTGAATCGGCCGTACGCCTTTCTTCAGTGGGCTCGGGACACAAACATAGCAGAGAAGTATGTGCTGATGTCGGAGCCCGACCACCTGTTCCTCCGGCCGTTGCCCAATCTCATGAAAGGAGAACACCCAGGTGAGCCAGCATCCTGCGCCGGTGTACATGCATGGAGGTCCCATGGTGATGGCAACATGAAGAAAACATACGGACTTGAGTACAGCGCAGAATACTGTACGATGCAGTATACGAATTTCAGTACGCAGTACAATACGAAACGCATTTCGAAGTACATTCAAAACATGACAAGGTCGTGGCCCTGTGCACATGGTATTTCTTCTGGGTGACTTAGAAGGATGACGTACTTCCAGCTACTCCTGGGGTGGTACCGCTTAGGGCTTTCTCGTGGGTAGCGTGCTGTCCACATTGGCGCACCGTACCCATGTCGTATTGTGGCATTGTTGAAAGAACTCTGTTGTACATAAGAACGCACATTTCCAGATACAGTTCGGTTATCAAATTTTATACCACTTATACCACTTGGGCGAACTTCAGCTTCCTTGCCGTGAACTCTCTCCCTGCTTCGCATCTCACGGATAGATAGCTAAACTGGATTCAGAGGAATGCGCATTATAGTCCACGGATCCCCGACTAGTAGTGAACAGCCACGCGAAAATGTTAACCAATGTTTGTCACTTGTCTACCCCTGTCGAAAAGGTACTGTCAAAATAGAATCGGCATTGAAAAGCATCGGCTGATTCCTGTGGTTTCTCTCTTTATGCTTGTGATTGGCGCGGGTGTTTTTGTTTTGTATGTTTCAGTCCTCGATGTGACATTTTTTCGAGGGCCTGTTCAGCTGTAACAGTAATTGATCCACTCTCACCAACCGGCCCGGAGAAATAACCCCACCCAGATGGCTGTGCCGCCTGTCTGAGAGCCGTTTAGCTTTTCTCACTGTAATTTAAGTCTACATAGTGATTTAAAATACGTGTTGATGTGTGAGCACAGCCCCTACAATATTCAGATTCCAGATGATACGCAGATGAAGGAACGGCTGCTTGTTTCTTTGTAGCCGCCTTCCCTTTCTTCTATATCGACCCGGCGAAGAAAGAGTTCGCGAACATCACCAGAAAATTTACGGGGCAGCTGCCGCAAAAGGATCTGGAGGACATATTTCCCATGGGGAATGCTCCTACCATGATGACATTCCTGGACTTGAAATCTGTGACGAACAAGTGGCTGAACGTCTCCCTGGCCATATTCAAGGATGATGAAGCGCAGAAGGTGTGGCGCTTGTGAAGTCGCTATCGCCGCCGCCAGCTTTCGTGTTGCAGTCACCCCCCACAAGGAGGGGACCCTCCCAGTCTACCAGTGGGTAACCTGTCCGCTGCATGCATATATGTACACAATGCTTCCATCGACGTATGCCCCACGCTGGGGCTGTTTTCTTTTTTGCCTTTGTCTCCTGTTTTTAAAAAGAGGGGAAATCCTACAATTCTACGCTGTCTGGCTCGCCAAACCGGGCAAGGGCTTGGGACTATTGTTTAAAAGTGAACCTGCTTTACGGTCATCCAAACAATCGCTGAGTGCCTCCTCAACATCCACAGCCCCACAAGCGCCAATAAACTGTTGGCGACAACCTCTTGTGCGGCTTAATGTACCAAAGAACCTCATACCAGCGAGCCCACCGGGACTTCGCGTTGTCCACAGGAATGGGGCTGGGTTCAGGAAATGTATGGCTTCACGATCGCATCCTACCTGGTGGGCATACGGAACGTGAGCGCACACCTTAATCTCATGGCCCAGCCCCCGTGGGACACGCAGCTGAGCCTCACCCGCAGCCGCCCATACTATATCTTGCACTACACGTACGGGATGGACTACACCTTGGAGGGCGTGTTCACGCCCGGGGTGGTGGGCAAGTGGCGGTTTGACAAGCGCTCCTACGCCGCGAGGCCGCCGGCGCGCCACCTGGGAGAGCCCCCTCCGGGCATGAGCAACCGCCTGGTTCGCCTTATGATCGACATGTTCAACACAGCCATGGACGACATCCCGTGCTGGGACGCGTACCACTCGACGGGCAAGGTGCAAGGGTGTTAGGGGTGCACTCGGATGACTCAGATAAGGGCAATGAGGGCGATGTTTCACCGGGGTCCAAAGGATGGGGGATCCGTTGGGAGGCGCTGTGGAGACATGTAAATGCACGTGGGAAGGCACATTTTGCGGGGCGGATAGTACTACTGTTCGACGTTAGCGAGTTTTGATGCTTCGGATACCCGTACTTGCAATTCTGCTCGCCAACATAGCGAACATGGGTGTTGCAGCAAAATCTTGGGAGAATGCGACATCCAGGAAAATGCTGGGTCTAAACAATTGGGTCTCGTGTTGGCTGCCAAATGCTTGCAAACAAGATAAGCTGTTCTTGGGTCGCAGGGGTCGCATCCCGGGGGGGCATCGCGGACGTCCAATGCCTCTCATTTCCGGACATGAAGGCCGCTAAGATCATTTTCCGTGTTTCAGTTTTGCAGAGCTTTTAGCCTTTAAGACTCCATGTAGCCTTCGTGATAGTGATGAACCCTACATGTCATGTCGTTGGGTCGTTGTCCCTCATATCCGGAAATTGTATCAGACAAACCACGAGGTCATGGTGCACTTCTCATTTGTGTGAAAACTTCTACGTCATCTCCCATCACATGAGTATCATCAGAAACATGCTGCAGAGGCGCGGATGATCAGGATACAATATACCATGCTTGTATGTTGATTATCTGACTAAAGTTGCGAAGATTCTGAAAACGCCATGGACAACGTCCAATGGCACCGCCAGGAAGCATGTGCTGCAAAAGATCTTGTTGTATTCAATTAGATGCAAAACAGCTGTGCAATCAAACACGTGGCTGGCGCTGGACCGCCAATGGCTCCATCCATAAATGCACGTATTGCATAGCACAGTCTCCAATTGCAGGACACTTCAGCAACACAAATGTACCAAACCATAAATTAGCAAACGCAATATTTGCTGCCCAGAGTTAATGGGAATGCAACGAGATTCCTTCTGGTGTTGATAAGGAGCTCCATCTGTAAGGTTCCTGAGGCCATATGCCTGTCCTCGGTGGAAATGAAACAGACAGCCCAGATAATCCTGGTATATCCAGAATAGTGGTTGGCACTGGGTTTGAAATGCCGCAAGGCGCCGCCAATTATCTTTTGGGAAAGTTTTGCCTACTTGGCACCGTTATTTGGTTATTACAACAAAATCCCTAATTTCGTTGGCGCCTAATTCTATTCAGCGCCGTACAGCGCCACTTAGGCCAATTCCTAGCCATTGCTTGTTGTGCAAAGTGTTCCGACTTCTGTGCTTTGCCCTCTCGCCATGTGCCATTTTAACCTCTTTTTTCCACCCAATGCGGTTGGCAATTTTCTCTAAGATGATTGTTTGTATAGATGCTTTTTTGTCGTTGGAAGTGTCTTGTAAGGTGTAAAATACACTTGCTTTGAGTGTAGCCATACGTCTTGGGTCACCCAACCATTGCATTGTCGCCTCAGACAGCCAAGCGTGATACCCCAGCCAATCGTGCAACACATATCAAGCACCTGGAAAAACAATGGTGAATCAATCCAATCAAAAGGTGCCTCTTGTAGTGGACAGCCCTATATGACCGCTCGTCGTCATAGACAAAGCACCACAACAAGACAAGGCGACGTGATGCAATGCAAGGATGTGCAATCGCACACAACACACTTGGCAAACAGAGGTACACTAAACGAACGGAAATCACAGGTGCGTGGCATACACATGGAAGAGCAAAGACACTCTAGAGACAGAGAAAATCTTGGGAACGAATTCCCAGAAGAGGGCATGCCATTCAATGTCATTATGGTGATACGAAAAGACTATGGGTGTGGGGTTCCTGCTCTCTTTCAGCCACGGACCCGCCTCGCCAGGCACCTAGGTCCTTACGGGGACCTAGGCGGGACCACCCCTCCTACTCCCATATCCATATAAGTATAGTGGTTACTGTAGGACAAGGAATACAATATGATCTTGGGCAGGGCGTCCCCCACACCAAGGGCCAGTAGTAGGGCGTCCCCCACATCAGGCCGGTGCGCGTAACATTCGTCCCCCTCAGGAAGGTGGGGCGTCCTCGTCCCAATATGTGGATATGGGAGCAGAAACTTTATGTGTATGTGAATAGAACTGGCTATGCGATTTGCCACATGCCTAGTTGTGAAACACTACACAGTGAAGGATGAAGAGAAAGAGTGGTTGTTTTTACATGACCTCCCGGTCTGCACAACCCTCATTAAAACTCTTCCTCAGCCACATGGCTGGAATGTTCGACCTCCCGGCCTATGGTCTACGACCCCGAGAATGGGAACCACCAAATGCCCATGCCGGTGTGGCGTCGGCTCGGTGCGGGACCTCGTCCTCGCCCGCGGCCACGCCCCCGCCCAGCTCCACGAGAGGCCGGCACGAGCGGTTCGTCAATGTCTAGTCTTTCTCCATTCAAGATCGCAACGGACATGGCGTTCATGTGTCCGAACTGCATCTTGGCACGGGGAGCGGTGTACCCAGTGTTCTTCTGGGCCCATCTCAGGAGAACCTGTCAAAGCATAATCACACATGAGCATTTCTCAGTTTGTACATCCCGTACTTTCATGCAGTTTGCATTCGCATCACAGGTGTTCTACCATTTTCAAATGCTTGAACCAATTCCTGTGCATTTGCAACTGACTTTGCTGATTCCCAGCTGTTATGCTCATGTCCATACCCCAGCCATTTGACAAGGTACTCAACATAGTTTTTGCGTCTCCCACGCTTTTTAATCCTTTTGTCAAGGATACGCTCAACCTCATACTCCAGTTCACCTTCGATCTCGATAGGTACTGGGGGTGGCTGTACTCTGCCACTTGCCTTGTAAGGCTTGATTTTCGATACATGAAATACTGGATGTATCCTATGCATGCTTTCCGGGAGTTCTAGTCGATATGCGACAGAACCTATCCGGTCGAGGATGGTGAAGGGCCCAATCCACCTCGGTAATAGTTTTCGAGTTCCAGGGTGTTTGAGGGTAATATGTTGTGTCGAAAGGAGGATGTCATCTCCTTTATTAAACGACACATCCCTCCGATGGCGGTCAGCATGCTTCGACTGCCTATCTCGTGCTTTTTCCAAGCACGCCTTGGCCTCTCTCAGCGCTGTCTGGACACGGTGATCAAATCGTGTCACTGCTGGTAATCCCTCCACGAGGGGTGTACCAGACTGCCTCAAGTAAGGCCGCTAATGGCCACCGCCAAGCCAAGAGCTTTTGACGTCAGCTTTAGTATTTGAATTTGCACACCAAGAGCTATGGACTCCTTTAAGCCTCCCGTAATTCAGATAGAACGCCTCTGTGTGGAACCTGCTTTTTCGAGTTGTCGCACCATTGCAACTCGGCCATGGCTACCGCCTATCCTATCGGCCATGGTCAGAATGCGATAGCCGCTGTAAGTAGTCCTCCGTGAATCCGATTCATGACTTCGGTCTGGCTTGCATCCGTCTGCGGATGGTACGCCAGCGGCTCATGTTGAGCTGAATTCCACCTCTCGCCAGTACCGTGAAACTCCGGAAGTGAACCAACGTCTCTAACTCCTTCCGCTCGTCCTAATATATGGTGAAAAATGGGGTTCAAACGTGTGTTTCCTGACTTTGACATCCTACCAATATCATATGAGTTGTGCTTTGACAATTCTGCAATATAGTACATATTAGGTTGGCTTGGGATACAAGGGACAAATAAGAGGTTTGGAGGCATTTTGGAGATAGTGCGGTTCCGCGATGGAGGAACCGCAATATGGAGATAGCATCATCGCGGAAGCGCACAAACACTCCAAGGTCCATATCCAGCCTGGGACCGGCTGGTGCGGTTCCGCGATGGCGGAACCGCACAAAAATCTCCAGGGTCCATTTACACCACACGACGCCTGGTATAATACCTGGGAATACCAGTGGTATTCAGGCCTCCTGGACTGACAAGCGGGGGATGGTGAAGGTGGACAAAGTCTGGAAACATACCAGTGATTTGCAGCGCGCGCTGTTGGATGGGATGTGTGGGAGGCCTCCACGGGCGACGATTACCATATCTTTGAAACCACCGCACACAACGCCAGAAGTAACAAAAATTTACAAAAATGTTGAAACAACAAAAAGTTACAAAAAATGTTCATACAACAAAAAGTTGCAAAAATGTTCAAACAAAACCATCCTAAAATGACTTGGGGACCAAAGGACCCGTACGCCCGCCGACATCCTATTGTCCCTGTCCACTACCCCACAACCCCTCGGCAACTAATCCCTACGGAAGGTGACCTCATCCGTCACAGTTCGCACCCGCCTAACGACCGCCACGGGCCGCTGGGGGTCGTCCTCGGGGGCCAAAGAGCACCCTTCGAGGCCCCACGACAAATCGAGGGCGGGGTCGTCATGCTGGGGATGGGGCCCGGCAGATGGCACAGGGTCGGGCTGCCTGCTGTGCAAGGGCTCCTCTGTATCGAGCCCACGGCGAGGGTGATGGAGCCGCCAAGCCGTGGGAAGGTCATCGTAGGAGGGCAGGCCGTCTCCAACGTCCACGTGATGGACAGCCTGCGAGGGTGGGGCAGAAGCGGCCCGTAAATCCGCCCAAGGCTCCCACTGCCCGGGGCCGGGGGAGGAAATAGAGTGGGAAGGGGCGGAGGGGTCCAAAGAATGGTGGGGGGCGGAAGGGTCGAAAGAGTGGTGGGGGGCAGATGGGGCAAAAGAGGGGTGGGGGACGGAGTGGGCAGCAGGGGCGGAGGGTGTAGAAGAACCAGATGGGCCGGAGGGGCCGGAGGGGCCGGATGGGCCGGAGGGGCCGGAGGGGCCGGATGGGCCGGAGGGGCCGGAGGGGCCGGAGGGGCCGAATGAGCCGAAGGGGCCGAAGGGGCCGAAGGGGCCGGATGGGCCGGAGGGGCCGGAGGGGCCGGATGGGCCGGATGGGCCGGAGGGGCCGGAGGGGCCGGATGGGGGGGGGCCCTCCAGG